GGGAAAGGGAGCTGAAGGCAAAAGAGGCAGGGTAATAAACAAATACCAGTCCCAACAGCCTATTTTAGTTTAATGCTTTTACTGCCAATAGCTAGGCCTTAGAAGGAGAAAAGTAAGCAAAAGCAGTTGAGAAGGGGGAGTAGAACTGCCTGGTGACATAACGGGAGTGTGGCCTTCAGAGAAATCCCAATTGATCATATTTGGCTCCCAAACTGTCCTAGCCAGTGGACTGAAGTTCAAGACCTCTAGACTGTTGACCATGACTCTTTTTAAGCCAAAGACCGCCATGCAACTGATTATGGTTTTGTCTTATGTATTTTTATCCTCATTCTCTCTTTCAATTTTCTCCTTTTTTCACTCATTTCCCACTCTGGTACCAGTGATATAACTCACTTTGCTCTGGTCTGGATGATGCTTTAATCCCAGGGTGGCTATATAGATGTAACACACACCCATCTTTTAAGGCGCTCTGGGCTTAAAGTGGCCTTGAAGGTCTCTGTTGTGACCAGGTAATGATCAGGGGCAGCAGGGGTCCTCAGTCACTAAGACTGATTATTGGATCTCTCTTCTTTCACTTTTTGTAACCCTGCTCCTGAGTGCTGAGGGTATGCTTATGTGGGGGGGGGGGGGGTTGGATTTGGACTGCGACTACAGTGCTAGGCAAGTGAGTGTAATAAGCATACAAAACATTTTCAAATGTGTGTTTCCTTGCCCCCCCCCCCCCCGGGTCCCAAGCACAGTTTACTAAGGGAAAATATGTGTGTAGCTGTACATTGTTCCTAATGGTGCAGCAGCAGCTTACTTTGAGGAAAACACCATGTGGGAAAATGTTTAACCTCTGTTGCTGAGGTCCAGAGTGGATTTGTTGCCACTCATCCCCGAGATGCTTTTTACAAAGGTTTAAACAGATGGGAGAACTCGTCATCAGGGCGGGTGTTGAGGTAGACATGGCTGGGCACTTGCTGAGGGCCCGTCCCCAAGCAGAATCTCACTGACAAGAGCCCCTCTGGACTTGCTGCTCCTCTTCAGCACAGCCATCTGCTTCTTCATCTACAAGGGCACTGTTACCAGAAGGGGCCACTTCTTACATCCGAGTGATAACAATGGTAAGGAAGAGGAGCAAGAGAAATGACAATGGCCGTGAAGAGGTAGAGCTCCTGAGGGTGTCTTGCCCAAGGGTCCTCCAAAACTTGGAGTGGACACCACTGGCCTCTGAATCCCAGCTTCTCTGCCATTTTCCCCTCTAGTAGTAGTGGAGACAGACATTTGCTCTGCTTCACTGCTGTTTGTCTCAACCAGGAGTGGATTCCTGTGCAACGGAGAGTTTTAGCCACATGTTCCTTTCTCCAGCAGCTGCAGCATTGCCTCTATAGTAGCAGCAGCTGAGACGGACGAAGACACAGGTACAGGCAGAGAGAGAGCACAGACAGTACATCAGACAAAGGCACATTTAAGCAGGGGGCATGGACAGGCAGGGACATGAAGCAGAGAGAGCATAAAAAGATAATCACACACACACACACACACACACACACACACACAACTGGCTCTTGAACAATTTCTCCCTTACACACTCAGAAGTGCCAGAGCGCAAGCTAGAAAAACTTGAAAAAACGGGCACAATCAGAAGAAGAATGTTGTGGACAAGTGCAGAGCTCCCATCCAAACAACCTTTGGTTAACAACCCTACTAAGCTCCTTTCTGATGTGACATTTTGTGTCCTCTCACAACAGTCCCACATCATACTGGGTGGCCACCTGCACATTGCCAAGAAGAGAACAAAAACTGATGGCTTTGTTGGATCTAAGTCTATTTTACCCCCTTTGACATTCTAGGACAGCCTTTCCAAGGCAAGTGCCCCTCAGATACGTTGGACTGCACATGGCCAGTGATGGGAGTTACAGCCCAACACAACTGAAAGGCACCAGGTTAGGGAATACTGTTCTAAGAGATGGCATCAAAGAACAACTTGCTTTATTTCTCCTCACAACTATTCTTCCCCACACCCCACGACAATGTCATTAAACAGTCCGGAAAATATTTCATCCTCAAGTAAGCTCTAGCAGACTGTAGCCCAGTTTGAACTGAGCCCTCTGCTGACAGCTATTATGTTTTTCCAGAACAAAATGCTACAGGGAACATGTAACCAGAGAATTAGGCTAGAGAGCATTGACCGACAGTAACCCCTGACTGCCTTGTTTGGGAGAAGACTAGGAAGTGTTTGTTTCTTCCTCCTTCACATAACTCTTCAACTGAACTGGTGTCCTGCCAAGTCAAGTCTGAGTAACTAATACAGTAGGAACATTTAACGGCGTTAGGCAAGAGAGGGAAAACTGTTCTTCCAAATATGCAATATCTGTCTTTCCTGCCTTCTTCTCCATCCTTTTCTGAGAGGATTTGTGGGACTCTCATTCCAGTCTACTTGGTACTTTGAGTGTTTTCTGTAAGCAAATTGTGCTCATTATCATTTAAAAATTATCAGATGACCTCTCAAGGAAGGGTATCTGCTACCCTTTCTTGGGATCTGGCATTGTGAGGGAATGTGAACTGTTAACTGAGGCAACAATAGGTTGCCTCTTTTCTCAGAAGCAGTGGTTTTCAACCTGGTACCAGTGAATGAAGACTTAGCAGCCATGTTGGTTCCATAATTCCAAAAGCAAGCAAGCAAACAAACATGCCTTACAGAGAATGCACATTTTGAAGTACAGCATACAATCTTTTGAATCACACCAGTCTCCTTCTCAGACTGGTTGGGATGGTGGTAAGATGGATCCATCAATAAGTATAAGTATGTAATTTAGATCAATGGCTTCCAGAGTATGTTCCAGGAAACTTTGGAATTTCTTTGATGATCATTAGAGACTCCTCAATATGTTGATTGATAATGGTGAATAAGATTTCCATGAATGATAGCTTGGCCACTATCATCAAGCAGGGATCAAATTGGTGGTGGTAGGAGGTAGCAAGGCATTTAAACCCCACAAGCCTGACCCCTCTCAATTCTACTCAAATTATGCTGCTCACTAACCTTCTAAAAACAGTCTCAAAAGGTAAACAGGCCTGGTTGTCCCCCTTGTCATCCAAGCACTGAGGGTGGGTAAAGTAATACCATGCTAGAGTCAGGACTGTTCTCCTCAGCCACAGGCATAGCCATAGAGGGATACTATGGCAAGATCCATGTCAGGGAAACATTGGATAGAGGCAGAGGACAAAGCATCCCCCTTCTAAGTTTCCTATGTTTTCTTGTTGTTAGTCGCGAAGTCGTGTCCGACCCATTGCGACCCCATGGACAACATTCCTCCAGGCCTTCCTGTCCTCCACCATCCCCCAGAGTCCACTGAAGCTCACGCTGAATGCTTCAGTGGTTCTTTCACACAAGGCTGATGGGAGCTGATCCCTCCTGCCATCCCTGTAGTTGATTCGCTGTACCAGAGGCTGCTATCTGGCACTGCAGAATGGTTACTACACCATTCTGTTATATGGCTGAACAGGCTTATCCAAATGGGAAGGCAGAGCAGCACCCATAAAGGGAAAGGAAGCCTCTCCCTTCGCCATCCATGTGGGCTTAAATATTTCCCACTCGTGCATTGGAGCAGTGGACAGAGTTTGCCAGTTTGGGTTCTACTCTCCTACAGTATTTACGTAACTGGCATTCCAGTTGTAAGTGCCATGGTTTTTCTTGAACTTCCCTGATGGTAGCTGTTCAGTAAGAAGGTTGCCTTCATCCTTCTTACAGAAATGTATATTGAATAGTACATACAGAACTCCCCTGAGTTCACCATGACTGTTAAGCTAATTTGATGAATATAGACATGCCCTCTATGATTTTTGATTTGATAATAGTAACAATTTGATATCTCTGTCTCATTGCTTTATTGCTTGGCAGATGTGAAAGTTCGGGATCTCTTGATTGCCAACGAGACATTTTCTGACTTCCTCCTTCGCAATATTTCCCTACCACAGTTTGTTGTAAATGAAATCTTGAACGCTGAAGTCAACCTCCAACAGGTAAGAAGCATCCATCCTCATGTATGATATAACTTGACCACAGTCACTGAGGAAGAGCTCCTAGAGAGGTGTTGTTGGAGTACAACTCTCAACATCCTCATTGGTTGGACTGATGGAAGTGGTAGTCCACCAATATTTGGAAACCTGAGCTTGGGAATGGCTAGTGCAGTTCTAGTTCTTAAGGCATTGTGAATGTGAAGTAGTAAAGGTGATTTAGCTTGTGTTCAAGACTGGTTTATAGGCAGCATTTGGTAACCTCTAATAAAATATTTCCAGGTCATTACATCTGGCTACCAAATGAATGTGAAAGACCTTTGCAATTCGACAAGGCTATCAGAGTTCATCACCATCCGAAACCCAGTGTATAATCTAATTGCAAAAACCTTGATGTGCTCCATGCCTAAGGAAAAACTTAATTCTGCAGGGAGAGTGTTTCAGAATAATATAGATATCCTGAAGCCTATTATGGTGAGTATACTGATTTTAGCATTTTTATTTGTATTCTCCAAGATGTGGTCCCAGGATTAAGAGGGCAGAATATTGTGGTGTAATATGTGGTAATGTAACATATTTGTGCAAAAAAGTAAAATACTTCCTTCCACATTACTTTTAAGGATTTCTGGAGATCTTTGGCCAAAAATTTAGATTGGATTGTTTCCCTTCCAAATCACTATGTAACTCTGTAGCTGTGCAGCTTCTTCTGGACACTTGCACTTATCTGATTTATTGGTTCCCTTTTCCAGTTTTTCTTCTGTCTGGCTTCTGCCTCTACTCTTCTCCTCTTTTGCCTTCTCTTCTGAAGCACTTCTCTCAGCCATCATTTCCCTATGTTCCTTTGTTCTCCTTAGCATGCTGCTTTCTCAGGCCACTGGTGGTTGATTTCCTGATGGGTAACTGCTTCTCCTATGCTTCATTTCCCATGTATCTCTGCCTACACTGGTTCTCTAAGCTCTGAGCACCTTAGGGTGCTATCCTATGGCTTCCTGCTATTGTCTTAAGAGGCCACAGGAATCCACCCGCCCCCCCACAACCTATGATCTCAAAGCTGAGACTCTGAAACCTGAGTCCCTGCCCCACCCCTTCACAGCTAGCACAGAAAGAACCATTGGTTGTAACTAGGCCTAGAGGAGGAGGAAGGGCGGGGGGGGATGCCAGGTTGAAGGGAGGGGAGGAGGGTGGGGCCACAGAGTCATGCTGATTCCAGTTGGTGCCCCAGCTTCCTTGCATCCTCTCCCTGGCACTGAATCTAAACATCCAAAAATAACCGTCTAGGGGAACTGCAAGTTGTGATGTGTAATGGCAGAAATTGCTTCTGCTGCATCTTGCACCTGACACCAGATTATCATAAACCTTTGAGTTTGGAAACTTACAAGCAACTGCTGCAAAAGTGACAAGATTAAGCCTTTGCTCAATGGAGGCCTGGCTTCTTTTTCCTGTGCCACCTCTCTGTGACATCAGGACAGTTGTGCTAATCAGTGCCAAACCCTACCCTCTCTTACACTGCAGTTTATATTTGAGGTTTACTAAGGAACATCTGTTAGCCCTGGGGATGGATCTGTGGTCCAAGCTGTCCACTGCAACCTCAATGTTATACACCCTGCTGTTTGGATACATCTCCGTTTTTAATAACCATCTACAGTTAGTGTTGCTATCCAGCAGTTGCCTCATCCTTCTGTAGAAAAATGGAAGAAGACTGAATTTGCTAGTATTCCAAGCAGCACCTTATGGATCATGAACCATGGACAGACAGCTCATCAGTCTGGTTAGGAGATTTGTTCCCCCTTAAGAACCTTGCCTATCTGACAATCTGCTGTTTGCTGATTGAGATAGTGGCCTACTGCAACTCAGTGCCAATCCAGAGTGATTTGTTCCATTGCAGTTTTGGGGAAACATACACATTTCAACTGGTATTACTTCCTGAGCTAGCAGGGCTTTGGTCTAATATGCTGAATATAAATCCCTTTCTATCAACCATGTTATGAGTGAGAGGCAGAGTTGGAAGCCAGAGATAAAGAACTGTGCTTCAGCTTGCAACTAGAGATAAGTCTCTTTCTGATCAGCAAAAGAAACTTGGGGAAATCTCTGATGGTGTTACAAGTTTGCATGGTGTTCCTTGTGAAATCCAGTACTGTGTGGCTAGTACTGGGATAGGTATTAGTCGCTCTGATGCCTGAATCTAAGGAGATCATCCCCACTAATGCCGTTGTACACTTTCTAATGAAAAGTAGGACATAAGTATCATACTTAGGTTAATAAATATGATATTTTGGGAGTTACAATCCAGCACATTTGAAGGACCCCAGGTTTGGGAAAGGCTGTGTGTAGAACAAGGGTTAGTGGGAATAAGAAGATGGTATGAAGCAGGGGGAACAGCCTTGCTGAGTCATACGCATGGCCTGCCATCAGACATCTGTGACTGCTTGCAATGAATTCCACATTTTTTTACAACAGTTATGCTTTACCAAACACAATACTGGGAAGGAGGAGTGGAAATTTCTCTGAGTCATTAGTTGTTTGTAGTCATTTCCTAATTTTCATTTCCAGAAGTAGTCCAAATGCTGACTAGGTTAGGAGGGAGCAATAGAGGGTAGTGGTGCTGCTGCTGCTGTTGATGATGCTTATTTATTCATTTCCTGCTTCTCAACCGAGATTATCTATGAAATGGCTTACAATAATTAAAATGTTTTGCCCAGCAGAGGCCTGCCTAGTGTCCTTGCTGGGTGGAGTTGTTGCTGTTCCCCAAACCTAGATGGCCTTCTTGGTCTTACTCTCAGAGAATAAGTGGCTGATAATCTAAGTTTTTCCATTCCTCTTATTCCAGTTGCTTGCTGTCCTTCCTCCTCAATTTGTGTGGTATTAAGCTCCTATTTGCCTTACTTGGCCACAGATAGGGCCAACTTAAGGCCTACTAGTTGCTGATTTTGACTCTTCATGTTTCCAGAAGTCAAATCTAAGAAGTTCATCTGTCCCTTCACATCTAAACAATGTTTGATTTAATAAAGGAGCAATGAGGTATTCTCACTATTATGAAGAATAGGATAATAAAATCTGCCATCTCCAAATGTCTGTATTGTAAGCCGTCCTGAGACTATTGGATTTTATCGGATGGGATAAAAATATTCTAAATAAAATAAATAAAATGGCATTGTAGTTATTTTAGGAAGTCCTCCCAGTCATTACAAACTACTGCAGTAGGCTGGTTGGGCAGGAAGAGCCATGGATGATGAAAAAGCTGAGTTAGACATTTATGGGAAAGCTTTCTGAAGATTTCTGATCCAGTCTTTTCCTGCATTGGGTGTCAATCTAAATGACAACCGTGATTCATGACTGTGATTCATGCTTCACATGAAAGCCACAAGGAGGGTTGGAACAACTATCAAAGCCTCCCTCTGTGTGTGAGACAGACAGACAGACAGACAGACACACTTCATTTTGCTGAAAATTCAGAAATGCAGAAAATTATCAGCTGTGATGCATGTTAATCACAGAAGGGCTTTTGTTCAGTGGAACAGAACATACTTTGCACCCAAATGATCCCAGATTGAGTCCCTGGCTTTTGCAGATAAGCTTACGAAGTGCCCTGCTCTGAAACCTTGGAGAGCTATTGCCTGCCAGCATCAACAATCCTGAGCATGGCCTGGATGGACCCATGGCCTGACCTGATATAAGGCCCATGCTAATACAAGGCTTATATTCTTCCTATTTGGTCAAGTATTCTTCATATTTGGGTGTGGGTTATTGGTCTTTTTGCTTCTTTGTTCCCATAGCCTTATACAAAGGGAGAAAAAATACAGTCCAGAAAAAAGAATCTAACCCGCAGTTTTAAACTATTTATTTATTTAAAACATTTGTGTGCTACCCAGTTGTGCCACAGCACCTCTGGGTGGCTCACAATCACAAGATAAAACACAATAAAACCAACTGCAACATATTAAAATGTTATATGTAAAATTCAGGCAAAAATAGAAAACAAAGGTCAAGTGGCATTAACTATTAAAATTTTTTTTTTTTTTTAAAGGAAGGTCTTTGCCTGGTGCTGAAAAGAATATAAAGAAGGCGCCAGGTGAATCTCCTTGGGGAGAGCATTCTAGATATGGGGAGCCTGTATGTAGCCTGAATAATAAAAGTACACACAATAAGTACAGTTACAAATGCATATAATATTCTGCTTTTTCTTTCCTGTCCTCAGAATAGATAAATACAACAAAGCATGTATTAGGTCAGGATTCCAGAACTTGCGCCCTCCAGATACATTGGACCACAGCATCTGTTATCCTCGCCCATCACGGCCAATGGGTATATTGGCTGGAGAACTGTAGTCCAGCCCATCTGGAAGGTGCCCGGTTTGGGAATGCTGTACTGTTTTATATGTCCGTGTGTGTGTGTGTGTGGGGGGGGGGGTTGAGATTAAGTGAGGTAAAAAGGGACCATATTGGGGGCATTGCGGCGCACACTGTATTTTGCACACTTCCTTGCACTTGTCTTTTTTATATCCCATAGTAATTGTAGGTATGTTACCAATGCAAGACAAAGTAGTTACAAGTTCCTGGCTATGTTTTTGTTTCTATAGCTACAGTATGGTGTGGTGAGGGATCCTGTGATATAGCTATACATGAGTAGAAATAAAAGGGGGGCTGCTTTCACTAAAGGGAATAATTTTTAGTGGATTGTAGCTTCAGTTTTTGACTTATGATCCTTGAACTGCTGTCCTGGTTTGTTTGGCTATTTCCAGGTAGGGCTTTTGCACCACTATTGCTCTGCCTCTTTCATGGAATTTTATTGGGGGGGGGTGTTCTACTCCTGGACCTTTTGTGTGTGTTCACCACTTCTTCCATCTTTGTCCTCACCACCTTAAGGAAAAGAAAATGGAATTATTGTTAAACACTTTCTCATGGTTAGCAGTAGGCTCCTCTTTCATCTGGAAGCACCGGAAGAGTCCTAAAAACACAAAAACACGAATGATCTTGTTGCCTGTTCCTTTCACCTTGTGATTTACATTGATTTAAAACTAAATCCCCATTTGTCATTCCAGAAAGGAATCACCTCCAATGCAACTTTGCAGAATATTAAAGAAACTGTGGAGACTTTGAAAGAGAGCCTCGAAAAGCTGCTTAGAGAGGTAGGCTGTACCTTCCGTTTCTTTACCTCTGGTCACTGTTCAATCATGCTGTATATTGAGATATTCAAATTATTGTAATCTGGGGCTGTTCTGTGATGTCAAGAGCCATGGCTTAACATGGCATTTTGCAAACTGCTACAAGCCTCAGGCTCCTGCAGTTCCCCCTTCCGTGTTTCTTTGGGCCAGGAGAACTTTGAAAGCACTTATTTCCGTTTTCGTTAACCATGGTTTCCTATTCCACGTGAACCAGGGATTGTTCTTTGCACTAGCTTTGGTCATTTTCAAAATAAGCTACCTTCAAAGCATGGGTTATAAACCTAGCACATGCACGCGTGTGTGTGTATGAAATGCCACACCAGGTTTTTGAGGGCACGATACTCTCAGCGGGCCCCCTCCCTCAGTGAGTTTCCCCTCTCACACTATTGTCACCAGCTGCCCGTGCTTTCTCATCATGGCTACCACTGCTTGCTTAAGAGTCAGGGACCCAGTGAGCAGGCAGGTCATGGCACCTACCATTCCTCCTCCTCACCAAAACTGTTGCCTGTACCAGAGTGTGGGGCAGATGGGCAAGCAGATTGCCACAATGAAGGAATGGAGAGTGTTCTAGGGCAGGGGAACCTGCCATTTATTTATTTGTTCATAATATTCATAGCTTGCCTTTTTTACCTTCCAAAGAACTCGAGGTGGCTTACATCATTCTCCTCCTCCTCTCAACGTTCTCCCCACAACAACAACCCTGTGAGGTAGGTTGGGCTGAAAGTCTGCAGCTGGCTGAAAGTCACCCAGTGAGCTCCACAGCAAAGCGGGGACTAGAACTCAGATTGACTGAATCCCAGTCCCATGCTCTTAACCACTACAACCCACTGGCTCTCATGTCAGCGGGCCCCTGCTGGGATACATACTCTTGGTAGGTTCTTGTCCATGCCTATCCTTGGTCCTGGCTCTGTGTGCGTGTGTGTAGAACACATCCAGATAAGAAATTATGTGAAATGTGGAGAATATTCCTTGAGCTGCAGAAAGTGGTGGCACTTTTGCTTTGGAAATGGAGGCTTCTGCCCTGGCCGTGGAGCTAGTTTTGATCTTCAAGCCCTTGGAATGAATTAAAGTTATGCCCTTTCCTGAACAAATGAGCTCTCCCTAGCGGACTTTTACATAAAGTGCTTTTTAGGCCATGTTAGAAAGTCTCCTCTCCCTTTTTAAAAGTAGCAGTTTTAAGCAGATACTGGAGAGGCGGGGGTGGGGGGAGGAGGAAATCTAAGTACTCCTATTGTTCTGTATTTCTTAAGCATTGAGGCCGTGAACTATAGTAACCCCTAAACTGAAACAGCTCAGGTCACTTGAGGTTATGGAGAACTTCTGCAAAGAAGAGAGAGCTGCCCGGGAAGGCACAAACTCCTCGATCCTCACTTTTCCTGTTTTTTTACTTCCTGGGAGGAGGCTCCCTATGTTGAATTCTAGACCCTGCAGCGTTCTTCTTGGCTCAAAAACAGAAGTTAACAGAAAAATCTGGTTGGAATCTAAGATAAAAGTGCAGCCAATTAAACCGGCCTAAAAGTTTGCCTAAGGCTTTGGTTACAGCTGTTTCCTGTTACATCATTTGAACATTGATCTTGTTTTTTTTTTCTTGTCTGCTGTTTAAAAAAAAAACCAAAAAAAAAAAAAGAATTGAAACCATGTGACATTCTTCTTGCTGATGTGGCTGTAAACTGCCTTGCTGAGGAATGTGACTTTTCTCTGGCCACTGTCCCCAGAAGCACTCAATACTTTTCCTCCCCTCCCATTCAAGTTGAAAACAAAGGCAGTATTTGGGTTTTGTATAGGGTGTGTGTGTATAGCGTGAAAACCACCCTTAACTGTAGGACCAAAAGAGGCTTTCTAAATTATCCATGACAAATACACATAGGAATGGAGGCTTAACTCCTACATTTTCTCTCCCAGAAGTGAGGTAGGCATTGAATTAGGGCAGCTACCATCTGTTGGGGAGAAACACCAGATAAAGCCTCTGGGCTTCACTAATATGCATATACTATTCTATTCAAATGTATGTAAATTTTGAGGCTTAGCATGGAGGCCCCTGCAACTGTGGAAAAACATGGCCAGGTGGCAACTTTTACCAGCCAGTTTCTATGACACTGGCAAAACTGTTTAACGCTGCACAGCTGGCCCTAAAGACAGTTATTTGGAACATACCTTATGAGGCTTTCCTTGAGGAAAAAATGTATTCTGTTCCTCCTCCTCTAGTGTGACTTTTAAACCCAATTCACACAGCAGCCTGTGAACTGGCCCACATGGTTTCCTAATTATGGCATGTGAGTGTTTGGCTTCAGTGTATTTGAAAATACATTTAAAATACATGCAGTCTTGTGTATGTTTAGACAGAAGAAAGTCCTACAACTGCCAGCATTCCTAAGCCAGCAATGCTGAGAGTTGCAACATAAGCTTATTTCTGTCTGAATTTGCATAAGCTTGTGCCCCTATTGCATTTCCTTTGTAAAATGCTTAGATGTTGTTTTTTAAAGTATGGTAAGTGGTATATACATTTATGGGATAGGCAACAACTAGCTTTCCTGTGTTCAGAAGACTCCATGTGACCACAGCAGCAGCTGACAGACATGAGAGCTACTGCCACCCAAAGATAACTCTTTTCATCCCTGTCAGATCCCACTTCATATGTCTGTTTATTCACTTAACCCTTCCCTGCCAGCCCCTGACAATGGAGAAGAACAAGGAAGTTATAGCAAAGAGAAGATACATGGTATTCCTTATTTTTCTCTGTACTACTAGAAGAATACTGCTGCTGCCAAAGGGTTAGTGAGCAAGTAACAGTCAGTAGTAATGTGGAAATGAAGTTGTCTGCTGGAACCTGTAGCTCTGCATTTTATTTTATTTATTTAGCTGCCATTCAAAATAAGTATCTTTCCAAAACAGTGCACAAACGATAATTAAAAGCAAACAAACAGAATCAGCAATCAGCATACTGCCCATTATCCAAGACCCTGCTCCAGGTTCCTCCTCTGAGGCAGATTTGGAAAATGGAAACAAGAGAGACAGACCGCCTTTTTGGTAGTGCCCCTTAGATTATGGAACAGCCTCTCCAGTGCGGCATGCCTAGCACCAACATTGTTATCTTTTTGGTAGCAGACTAAGACTTTCTTCTATTCTTAGGCATGTGGCCTAAGTTTTTAAGTCAAATCTTGGATTTCTTATTGCTGATTGTTAAACATGATTTAGATATGTGTGCTTGTGTGTGAGTGCATGTGTGTGCACATATACTGTCTATTTGTATGCAAACTGTCTTTATATTATGTAAAGTAGTGTATTTTAAAGGTTTGTAAACTTTGTAAACTTTCGACAGAGCTGTGACTACTGGGCAGTATAGAAAGGCAGTAAATCTTCCATACACCTTCTTCCTTATTTGCCCTCCCGCCCTCTGAGATCGGCAGCAGAGGCCCTCCTCCGGGAACCCTCCGTGAGAGACATTAGGAGGCAAAGTACCCGGAGGAGGGCCTTCTCTGCGGTGGTGCCCCGCCTATGGAATGCGCTCCCCAGAGAGGTCCACCTGGCGCCGTCGTTATTTGTTTCTCGACGCCAGGCTATGACCTTTTTATTTAAACAATATTTTAATAACTTTTAATATCATCCATAGGTTTTAATTTGCACCCAGGGTGAATCTGGATTTTATTCATATTATTCGTATTATTTGTATTTATTTTATGTAAGCCGTCCCGAGACTATGCAATGGGATGGCATACAAAAATTCTAAATAAATAAATAAATAAATAGTAAATGAGGTACATGAAATGAAACATTTACATTTAAAATAATAAAGCAGAAAGAGCAGTAACAATCTGCAACATGAAATAAGAGTAGACTGAAATGAATAAAAGAAAATAGGAAAGGAACTAGAGGCCATCACTAAGTAGATCCTATTCCTTCTACTCTTGCTCTGTAGCAGCCTGTTGGAATGGCTTTTGGTGGCAAGAGTTGACGGAGGAGGCCTTTAAGCAGGGTTGATTGAATGGTCCTGTTCCCCTCTCATTTTTCTCTGCTGCATGAAAAGTTATTTGAATGGCTTTTCAGATAAATGGCATCATATGACATTTTGCTAGCATGTTGGCATGCTTCTAACGTAGCCCTGCTTTGTCTCTTTTGTAAAAGTTAGGGCTCTAGCATGCATTCCACAATTCTAGAAATGTTTACTTATATGTAAGCCCCACTGTATTCAATATTGCAACTTATGACTGATTTAAATCATTTAATTAATCATTGAACTGTCTGCTCAATTGATTAATCTGTTGAAATGTATGTAATTCACTGACTGGATTCAAACAACATGACAAGCTACTGTGGTATCCGCTGTGTGCCCTAACCCAGTCATGGTATTTTAGTGTGGTATGTATGGACTTTAGAAAACATAAGAAGAAACAACGGTTTGTTCTATGGTTTCTTCATTGCACAATGGATTATTATGTTGCCAAGGTTTCCATGGTCCTGGCATGGAAATATACAAGCAGCAATTCCAGGTATGGTCTAGCCATCCAGATTCTACTCTCCTTCTGCACCTAGGAACAGATGCATCACTATCTTCTTCACTCCCACAAGTGAGACAAGCCAAGTTCAAGTCCTCAAAAGCACAAGTCTTTGTGCTAAATTTCAGATTTGCCCATTGTGCTGCCAAATACTTGATTCCCACAACCCTAAACACAAACTGTTCAATCTCTGTTGGTGGAGATTTGCACTAACAGGCACCCCGTTGGTGTCCATATGGTGTCCACAGTAGATCACACAAACCATGCCCTAGTAATTTATGCAGATCTCCTCTTTCACAACTTCAGCTCCCATTTCTTATATATTTAGGTATCTGGCCATGCAGCACACATGAAACATTTTCATTTTTTAATAGGATCTCTCAAACACAAAGCAAACATGAAACCATTCTGGGAGCCATGTATGGCTGTTCAACAGTATAAAGAAGCAATAAATAAATGCCAAGAAGCTGATAAAAATCAGGTACACTGAAGTTGTAAGTGCCCAGTTAACCTTACCCCCACTGACCCCGTGCAAACTGGATTCCTCACACATCTATAACTGTGAGAAGGATGCAGATGATGTAGGCAAGGAGTGATGCACCTTGGGATTGAATTTCAGTGGTGGTTTATGGGATACATGCCAACAGCAGGAAGAATGAGCAGGGAGGATGAAACCAAGATAAGGTAGAAACCACTTGATTCCGTCAGGTAGATCATATTTCAAAAAATACATGTTTAGAAATATCAACAGTAGAGCCAAAGAATAGGAAATTAGATTGCAGCCTCGGAGTTGGAACTTAAATCCATGGTGTGGAAACCCATTGCCTTCAGTGTTGTCATACATGGCAAGAACATGATGCAGACGCTGCTGGGCCAGTTGTCAGCTCTTGTACAGTCACATTAACTGTGTCAGTTCTCCTGAAAGACCTTGGCTATTTCTCATCCTTCTTTTAAATGAAGGTGGCAGATCAAGACAACCAGGATGACAAAACTCTTAGGCTGCTTGAATGCTCTTTAACTTTATATCCTGTCTACATGATTTAAGCTGTGGTCTGTACACCCTAAAGAAAGAAAGAAGAATAAACAAGAGCTTAGGACACGGAGGAAAGAATCCACTGGTGTCCAAGCAGTAGAAGTATTCGTGTGCTAATGCTTGCTACTTGCCATGGATTTCCTAGGAAACCTGTCACACTAGCAAGCACCATTGATATTGAGCGAGATTTGGATTTTGCTAGCACAGAGCCACTATGCTAGTACATGGAGACTTTTGAACCCTACCCTCTGAACCAATGGAATATCATGGCAGTTCTGGACTCAGGTTGTGGAAAGGCAGATTCAAATCTCTGCACTCAGCATGAAGTTCAGCCCATAGCAAAAGTGCTATCTATTGTGCTGACCTGGCTCACAGGGGTGTTATGTGGATAAAATACGGAGTTTCTTGGAAACAAGGTAAAAGACAAGAATAACAAAAGTAGCTGTAGTGCTTAGATTACTCTCCTGAATATGGTTTTGTTGTGCTTCTAAATTGCTTGCTTGCTTTTACATGGGCTGAAAGTCTTTGGATTCAGGGGGAAATTCCAGTTTAAATGCTGAGGGTTGGAGGAGCTCATCTCATGCTACACCATGCTGCTTTTGAAAATGTTGCTCCTTTCAGTGAAAATATGTACAAAGCTTTGCAAGCCATCCTTTGGTAAATTAAATTGAAATGGCTCCAGTAGCTTTCTTAAAGTTGGGTGAGTTTATTCTGGCCCGAAGGAGAGACAACTATGGCCCAAGAAAAAGAGCCCAGTAAGCAGCAGAGGGCACAATTAGATGCCCTCTAGATGTGTTGGACTAAAATTCCTATCCTACCCAGTCACGATGAGCACTGTAGTCAAACACAGCTGGAGTGCTCCTGGTTGGGGAAGGCCTCCTTAGAGTTTTTAGTGAAAGACCTATGGATTAGTTTGAACTGATGGTGTCCTGCTTTGATCCCAGACCTAAGCAAAATGGCTGAGAACGGCATGGAATGTAGGAAGCTTGTCCATAAAAAGCTGGTAGCACCCTGCACCTTGCAGCCAACAACAATAGCAGGCTGAAATCTGCTGTCAGATTTGCTTAAACAAAGGATTTCCTTCTTGGGCTGAGAGCATGTAATGGAATGTAATGAAAATCTGTATACATAAAGATAGTTTCCAACTGTTGAACTCCGCTGTGACCAAAGAGGATGGGACTATAGAAACCAGGAAAAGATCTGACTTTCAGGGGCTAGGATCAATTAGCCTTACCCAGGCAGGGTGTTTGTGTCCCTTGATTTTCTCCCATGTATGTATGAATGTATATGATTGCTCTTCCCTCATGTAAGGAAAGCAAAAGTGTTATGCTCTGTTTCATTTGGAGTATAACCTGTGCCCTAATTGAGAGGAAGCTCTGGACTGAAAAATGATTCTTTACCCCTCCCTCACCAAATGCTTGTAATATACTAGCTCTCCTTCCAAACCTGGCATACCCATCATAATGGTGGGCATTTTTAGTGGCTTATAGCAGCAAGTTCCTTTTATCTCTTTGTTGCACAATAGTTTTTTTTAAAGAAAAAAAGTCCAGGGTGATGCAATTCAGATAGGTTTGTTTCATAATAGCAAACCTTAAAATTCTATAGCATCCAGAAAAAAACTTCCATCCATGTGCTAGTTACAAATTTTATTTGGAGATCCCGCTCCTCCATCAAAAAAACAAAACCCAAAAACCCACCGTGGTGATGTTTACATATGATATTGCATATAACTGACTTCACATGGATAAGAAAGATCTGTTGGCTCAATACAGATCTGGTACATACAAAAAAAAATTGTGTGTGCTCAGAATGAAATAAAATAGAACTCTCAGTATTCTGGAGATTGCAGTCAGGTCAGGAGTAGTATGCTGTTATGTTGATGTTTGTGTTTTATGTGGAATGGCCTTTAATGAATAAGTGGCAACTTGTACTGCTTTTTGAACTATGAGACTTCTGCTTTAAAGTTTTCGCAGAAAAACAGAATGGGTTTTGAACTTACAACTACTTTAAAATATAATCTGAAGAGCCATCCTCATGAAGTATGTCCCTGCTTTTCTTTTGAACTACAGCTGGTGAGCATGAAAAGCTGGCGTGACATGAGGCAGGAAGTGATGTTCCTGAGTAATGTGAATTCCAGTGATTCTTCTACCGAAATTTATCAAGCGGTGTCCCGGATTGTTTGTGGCCATCCTGAGGGGGGCGGTTTACAGATCAAGTCTCTCAACTGGTATGAAGACAACAATTACAAAGCTTTCTTTGGAAGCAACAGCACTGAAGAAGTAACAGATGATTTCTATGATAACTCTACAAGTAAGTGAAATTCAAGGAAGACCTCCACAATTTCTGTTTTCAGCTAAACATTAGCATGCTGCCCTTTTGTATTTTCAGAAGTTCAGGGAGCTACAGAAAATTATGGGCCTGTGCTCTTGGAGGTGGGAAGATGCTCTTAAATTTCAATAATTTTCCTTTTCTTTTTTACTTACATTTCATAAGTATTAATTATATTTATAGCCCAGCTTTTTTCCTTTGGTGAGGAACCGAGGGCAGCTTACATGACTTTTCTCTTTTTCTTCATTCTATCCTTGCAATCCTGTGAAGTCGGTTAGGCCAAAAGTCTGTGACTGCCCAAACTCACCCAGTGAGCTTTGTGACCAAGTGGCAACTAAAACCTGGATCTCCCAGGTCCCAGACCGATCTAGTCACTGTACCACACTGGCTTTCTTTTAAAGCCATTCTCTTCTTTTCTTTTAAAGCTCCCTACTGCAATAACCTGATGAAGAAACTGGAATCTAGCCCACTTTCCAGGATTATATGGAAAGCTCTGAAGCCTTTGCTTGTTGGCAAGATCTTGTACACCCCTGACACACTGGCAACAAAAGCGATCATGTCTGAGGTAAGACCTTTGAGACCAGTTTCAGTTCCACATCGGCCATCTCTGTACCTTGGCTATCAGATTCTTACAAGACAGGCAATAGAGCTCAATGAAAAGTCCACTGTCTGTGTTAGGGAGGGACTGTAGTTCAGGGGCAGAACAAAGGTATGTCAGGTTAATGCTGAGCCTGAAAGTCTCATCTCCAACAATTTTTTTTGCGAAATGTTGGACATTATAGTGGGGGTGGGGGTGGGGAGGCAGCTCCATACATGTGTATAACTTTGGAGTGATGGGAGGCTGAAATGATTAAAACCTTCAGTTAGGTTATTGGTTAATGGTAACAGCAGTAGTGCTGTCTTCCTTATTTTTTTCTTTGCTTCAAAAAGTGATGATGGCAGTACGTTTCTCTCAGTGGCTGCCATTTTGTCTGAACAATGTCCTTGTGGTGACCTTACATCATGAGACATCATTGTCCTGAGAGGTAATATGGCAGCAGAGGAAATACAGGAGGTGCTGGCAGGCAGTCACCAGGAAAAGCTGTCTCACCTTTGCTCCTTGCAGTGGGAGTGAACCATAGAGGGTTTCTTTTTGAGAAAAGAAATCGCTAAAGACTGCGACTACATTTAGGCCATTTTGGGTGTCCTGAAATGGCAGTGAACAGTTAGTTATTGGCATCATCATTGTCATTGTCATAGAGGTAGTTGTTGTTTTACTAACAGGTTGCGGGAAAGGTGCTTGTAGGTTTTTCTGCCTCGGGTGCAAAAATAATGTTGAGTATTATGTACCTTGACAAAGGGAGAAACAAAATGGTAGGGGTGGGTGGACACCACTTCTTGCTCTGTTGCAGACAGTAAACTATGTTAGGCTAATCTCTTGAAAAAAAAATCATCTCTCCACTAAAATTTCAGAAATCCACCCACTTCATATAAACATACATGCACAGGGCTGGTTTGTATAGTCGCAGCAAGCCATTCTCTGGCTGGCTTGCTCATTCATTCATGCATTCATTCTGTTTTTTGTTGACCCAAACAGATACTCAAGAATGTCAAGGGCTTTAATTTCAAGTAGTACAGTGTTTTTAGTGAATATCTTTTTTTACTGTGGTTTTTTAATGCTCTGAACCCATTCTGAATGCATGTAATGTAAAATTCTGAATACTGTATGACAGAGATTGGCCAGTTTCAGGCTTATTGGACATAGTTTTTTTTGGGGGGGGGTGTTTCTAGAAGCTTAAGATTGGTGCCACTGGCACACATGTAGAATTAAAGAATTCACAGCTGAGGAACTTGAGTTGTGAAACTGAAAGCAGCTCATGGTCCTTCCCACAAAAAACTGTACTCAGTTACCCCAAGCCTGGGATGGGAAGTCCTTGGCAGCAAAGCCAACAGTGAGGAGTGATGGAAACTGTAGGCCAAAATATCTGGAGGGCTACAAGTTGTCCACCCTAGCCCTAAGCATTCTTCATTTCAGCAAACAAAATTTAGGGTAGGAGAAAGGAGTCATTTTGTTTCTGTTCTTGTTAAACAATTGGGATTCAAAAAGCTTGGCGGCAAATCACCCAGAGATCCACCAGTAGATACAGATTTACCTTCTGCTCACCATTGCTGTAAATGACAAATATTATTGGCTGATGTGAACTAGGAAGATGTTGGTGGTGGCCTTGTACGTGTGCTCACCTGTAATTAGTCACAGAACAGTGGTCCTTTGGGAATACAACCATTGCTGATCCCTCAGGTAGAAGGAAATCTGAGGGGATGGGGTTCTGCTGCTCAGCTTTTTGTCAGTTCTTCTGCTTTTGTGATTTTGATGTCACCTTTGCTCCCTTTCACTCTCCTGGCAGGTGAACAAGACATTCCAGGAGCTAGGTGTCCTCCATGATTTTGGAAAGATGTGGGAAGAGATAAGACCCAAGTTAAGAACTTTCATGGAGAAAAGCCAGGAAATGGATCTGGTCCGGGTGAGTACAGTACAACTTTTTGTTTCTCAGATGATACCAAGTTGGTCTTTGGAGGCCTAGTTACAAGAAGTGACTTAAATCTATTTACTTTAGTACCATGATCAGCACTTTGGTGTCGAATGCCTGCGTGCATGTCTGTGTAACAGCTCGATTCTTGTGACAAGCCTCCTTGTACTGGGCTTTCTTGCCTGTGCGATGTGACAACATCCAGTGATGGAAGAGGAAGGCGCTTCTCTCTAGATGGCACCTCTCCCCTCTGTGATTTTGTGAAATGCAGCAGAGGAGGATTGGTTGAGCACAAGTCAGGCAGACTCCAGCTGGTGCATAAATCAACCCCCACCCTCCATACTGCCTCCACAGGCGCCTGTGAATGTCCACCTGCCAAGGACATGGCTCAAATGAATGTGAAACAAGGGGATATTCAAGCACAGACAGGCTTCACATTCATTTATGCTGAGCGCTACTTCCATCACCTTTCCCTGGGCTCTAAATTAGAGAAGAATGTGATTAAGTATTAACTGACTGGTCGTAATGTGAGCACCAATCTACTTGTCACTATCCACTTTTGCAAGCATGACCGATACATTTAATTGGGGATAATAATAAAAAACACCCTTTTAGGAATGTAATCCTGGCTAAAATAAAAGCTTCTAGTCTGGTGTCAGTGGTGCTGTTGGCTAGCCATTGTATTGTTGTGGCCAGACCCCTGGACATTGGTCCAGGACACAAATTGCTTATCAGCCGTGAAGCTCAGTGAGTACCAAAAAAGGTCTCTTTGTGTGCCTAAAATTAATTACAGGTCACTAATCCAAGATATTCCTCTGGGGAGCCTGACTGACTTGTTCAGCTCCAAATGAACAACACAGTTGTTTTATTTAACTTGTTCGGGGTGCCTTAGGAAGTTAATACACTCTTACACTGGTTATCTCTTTGCCTTTATCTCCCTTCAGTAGAGAGCCCTTTGAACTAGCCTGACTGTGCTTAACAGCCACCAAACAGCTGAAGCAGTTCCTCTCTTCTCCTAAGCCTGCCTGTTTTCAGCCTTGCTTTCTTTGCTTGCTTTTTAGCAGAGATAGCATCTGGTTTTCTAGAGGTGCTGTTCAAGGCTGCCTCCTGGTGGGGCAAAAGTGGGACTAAATCACAAGAGAACTCAATTCTTTCTCTGAACAGGCCAAGAATAATGTGTAGATTTTTATCTCACCCAATTAGGTCATATGCCATATTTACTGATTTTGCAGTGTAATAATACCTTCCTATGATCAGGGCTTCTGGAACCCTGAGTTCTCAGGGATACTAAAGGATGTGTGAGATTTTCTTGGCTTGGCCCTGCAGCTTCCATTCTGTCAACCCTTTATAGATGTGGAATTGATTTAATGCTACTTGAGCCAACATGTGGCTCAAACAAATCCCAGATTAGGATTTTTTTAAGGCAAGGAAATTACTGTAAAATTTTGGACTCCACTCTGAAGTTTGGATTAACCCCAATTTGGCACAAATCTAAAATTAATGATCAGAAAATTTGAGGTGGCCAAGGTGGAATGTGTGCATAGTCATTCAAAGGAGGTGGCTTCCATACTTCTCATGTTAAAAACTGCAGCAGAAACAGCAACTGGCATCTAACAAGATGACCCCAATTCATGCAACTTACACAATTTGTGCAAATGTATGCACTTTTGGTAGAGATAAACGCAAGCCAGTGTTGTATAGTGGTTAAGAGTGCAGGACTGGAACTCAGGAGTCCTGGGTTCTAGTGTCCACTCAGCCATGGAGGCAACTGGGTGAGTTTGGGTCAGTCACAGACTCTCAGTGCAATCTACCTCACAGGGTTGTTGTTGTGAGGGTAAGATTGAGAGACGAAGAAGTATGAAAGCCACCTTGAGTTCCTTGAAAGGAAAAGAGGCAAGATATAAATATAATAAATAAATTTCTCAGCACCACATTTGTGAAAATATTTTCAGTTGTTTCTTAGAAGTTGAGAATAAACACCTGACTCACCTTTTTCTTGGCTGTTGGTCAAAAATGTGTCAAATATTTGTCAAGGTCAGAAAGAGAGAGTTTTCCAGAGTCACACATTCCTGGAGACATTACATTTTTAAAATGTCTAGTTTACTTGTGAAAATGTGCGTATGGATAGTTGACCTGCATAATTCTCAGTTCTGTTCTCATATTATTGAAGCAGTGTTGTCTCTGGCTGGAAATCTGGAAATATTGTCGATGTTCACAAGCAGGCATTGCGAGTTAGGCTACAAGCTGCTTAGATTTGTCCAGGAGAGCAGGATGTGGTGAAAGAATGTGTGGCCTTTTCCACTTAATCTGAATTGTGATGTAAGAGTTAGAAAGAAGTTAAGAACCTAATTCTGGTCTCCAAGATGATGACAAAGTCCTATGCATTAGGGCAGCCTTCCCTTCTGCTCCAATCTGGTGCCGTCTAGATATCTAGGATTAGTTTCCATTACCTCCAGCTAGCATGAAAGTTGTATCCCAACACAACTGGAGCACACCAGATTATGAGAGGATCAGGTACAAGTTTTAAAGGGAGCTTGGTGGAATTGCCAATTTTCCTCTTAAATAAAGACTGTTATTTAATAATGGATTGCAAGTGTTTTTCCCTACCTGTACACCTGGCGAGTAACAATAAGCTTAAGTATGAGCTACCAGTGAGAAGACTGAAAACAGCTCTGTAAAATGCTGTTAATTTTCTCCCCTTTACTTCAGAGTAAATGTCATCTCCTTTGTCCTGTTGATAACTTTAGGCATTACTGAAGAACAAGCTGCTTTGGAACCACCACTTGCCAGGTTCAACCTGGACCTTTAAGGACGTGGCCTTGTTCTTAACAAAGTACCCAGAGGATGTTCACACAGAGAATGGTTCTAGCTACACCTGGAGAGATGCTTTCAATGAAACCGATCAAGCTATTTTGACTATTTCCCGCTTTATGGAAGTGAGTCTCCTATTGTTGTTTGCATGCATTTGGTTTTATTTCATGTTTAAATCATTTTTTAAACTTCATTTCTGCAATAGGGGGATTCTTCATTCATACACAGAACCCAAATTGATTCAGAAATGAAAACTGTGTTATATAGACTAATGTGGAAAGGAAATCACTTTTAGGGGACATGCCTGGTCATCTTTAAGATTTGTGTGGGGGTGTGGGGAGGAATTCTTGGGCCAGATACTCCTTTTTCAATTGACTTATGCAATTCTTATTGTAAGCCGCCCCGAGGCTTATGCGATGGGGGCGGCATATAAGCTGCCTAAATAAATAAAGTAAGTGAGCCAAGCCACATTTTCACTTCATTTTGGACAAGTTGCCTTCCCGGCCTTGCTTGTGTCAGTAAAAGGGAGCATCACCATCGTTTATATGCTTAGTCATTCAGTACTCATTAGTCCTATCAAATCAAATAGTTCTTTGGAAACAACCTGTGCAGGACTGGGATGATGGCAATAATAATGCACTTGGTCACATGTGCTTAGGCTTTCAAGACAGCTCAGGATATCAAACCACATCCAATAGGAAAGTAAATGAACATTCCATACAAAATTATATTTACTTAACGGTTGTGGTAGACATAATTTGGGGGCAATTTTGACATCAACATTGCATTATAATTAAATAACAATGTAGTTAGACATATGGTTGAAATACTCTTGATTTCAAAGTCAAATGTTTACTTCCCAGAGAAGTTTCAGCTCAGCTCCTGATTCAATTATCTGTCATCTTGCAGTGTGTCAATTTGGACAAACTGGAAGCCATGCCTAATGAGATGCAGCTGATCGACAAGTCCATGGAACTCCTGGATCAGAGGAAGTTTTGGGCAGGCATTGTTTTCTCTGAAATGGCTCCTAACAGCGTGACTTTGCCACCTCATGTCAAGTACACGATACGGATGGATATAGACAATGTGGAAAGGACAAACAAAATTAAGGACGGGTGAGTATTCCTCCAAGAGGTTTTGTTCATGTTTGTGCAAGCAAATGTGAATTTCAGCAAATGTGAAATGTGCTTTGGTGTAGATACTGGGACCCAGGCCCTCGAGCTGATCCCTTCGATGATATGCGCTACATCTGGGGAGGCTTTGCTTACCTACAGGATGTGATAGAACAAGCCATCATCCGGGTTCAGACGGGTTCTGACAAGAAAACTGGTGTCTATGTGCAGCAGATGCCCTACCCCTGCTATGTGGATGACACGTAAGTGCCGCTGTAAACAATGAGTGTAAAATCTCAGGCCTGGGATCAAAACTGGCTCTCCTGTGTTCCCCAGATGGTGACATTCATTTCCCCACCCCCACCTTATTCCCCCATTTTGAAAGGTTGAAATGCCTCTTCTGGGGCTTTTGTTACCTTCAGAAACTTTGCTATTTTAATGCTGCCTTCTCTGCCTTGGGCCCCACTGATGGTTGGAAGTTGGAATTGCCCTCAGCCTAAAAGGTTCAGCATCATAAATGAATGATCCTTTTCCATGATTGATTCCTATAAGGCATAATGAGCCTGTATTTTGGGTGGCCCCTGTAGGACAAATTTAAGCAGCCTTTAATCTGTCTGGAGACTTGCAGGCAGAATAATAGGAAATAATTTCCGTTATGGGGCTTCAGCATTTCCCTGGAGAAGTCAGTTGTTCCTCAAGTGATGCCATTTTCTCAAAATGGTACTATCACAGGAGAAGAAGCTGCCCTAGAAAGTCTTCTCAGACCGACTCAGAGGGAATCAGTGCCTCCAAGATGAGGCTACGTAGGCTTCCTAGTGAGAGGCGGGGTCCAGGATGGCACTGGATAGGAAGTAGTTAGCAGTGAGGATTCTGTTTCTAGCTATGGTTCAGCAGATGCTCCTGAAACGGTCTTCCTCTGCTTGTCACTTCTGAGCATTGACTTTCCATCTACCTCTGATGGCTTCCCTTTATAGACAAATCCTTGGGTGATTGGCCGAATCCTTTTTTAAAACTCTCTGAGCTGCTAGTCTCACGACATCTTGGTATAGTGGATGCCAATCTGAATGGAAGAAGCATTTCCTTTTGTCTGACTGGAACCACTGTCTATTCAGGAACATAATCCCAAGCCTTTGCCTTTCTCTGTCATTCTCATTCAGATTCCTGCGTGTCACAAGCCGATCAATGCCTCTCTTCATGACTCTGGCTTGGATCTACACTGTGGCAGTGAATGTCAAGGGGATTGTGTATGAGAAGGAAGCCCGCCTGAAAGAGACCATGAGGATCATGGGCCTTAACAATGGCATCCTCTGGCTTAGCTGGTTCATTAGCAGTTTCATCCCACTTTTGATGAGTGCAGGCCTACTTACTCTCATCCTCAAGGTGAGGCTGGCTCCATTTCTGTGATGGGATGAGTCCTTCATGTCAGTTGATCTAGTTCAGTGGCTACAGGTGAAATGTAGCCTTCCCCAAACTGGTGCCTTCCAGATGTATTGGAATGCAGCTTCCATCATTTCTAGCGAGCACTCCCTGCAGCTCCCAGCATTCCCAGCCATGCTGCCTGGGATTGGTGGAAGTTACGATCCAGCACATCTGGAGGACACCAGGTTTGGGAAGGCTGGTGTAAGTTGTGACTCAGGAGACCCTTACCTCCTGCCCAAATGTATTAGGCAGGCTACCTTCACTGAGCCACCAAGTCCCATTTCAAGTATGAAGATTAAAAATAGTTCTACCATGTAGGGCTGTTGTACAGAGTTCTGAGATAATGAATGTTGTTCATCGTCCCTCTCCTTGTAATTTCTGCTGGCACTCATTTAATTCTCACTCTAATGAATAACTGCAGTGACCAGGAGCCTCATGCTGAGTGTTTGGATAAACCTATAACCCAGAGTGTGTTTCTGTGCTGCAGATTCTGTCCTACAAAAGGGAGGTGAAGAAGTCAAGGAATGACAAAGGAAAACGCCAGCAATTCTTAAATGTTTTTCTATTGCAGATCATTATTGCATTTTAGATTGCTCTTTGCAGATCACCAATTTTCTTATATTATAGTCACCAAATGGGAAATCATTAAAGGTTTCTGAATTAAAATGTCTCCCTTCCTGCAATCCTGTGCAGCTGTTCTGAATTTGCAGAGAGTGAACAGGAGAAGTATTGCTTAATGACAGGCAGGTGAGATCTGTTAGGCATGTACATGCTCCCTGCCACTCAGGTATTTGCTAGTTGACTCTGCAGGGCCAATTTGAGTTGAATTTTAATTCAGTGTTAGTTGCACTTTGCTCTGGAAAGAGTCACCCCTGTCGTATAATTCTAGCCCACAGGTGACCCGTCAGCTAAATTTTAAGAATTGATGGCCTGTGGCAGGGGTCACTTGTCAAGAAAGTACAGTTGACATCCATATCCAAGGGGGTGAACAGACATCATCATATACAGACAAGTTCATTTATTATTCCTTTGATCGAATAACTCCATGCAGTCCACTGTAAATTCATGAAAAGACTAGCATGGTGCAAAGGCTGGAGTGTTGGTTTTGCATTCAGGAAACCCAGGTGGGACTCCCCACTCAGCTGAAAAACTCCAGGTGTGGCCTTGGCCAAGCCATCTCTGACCTCAGTCGAACCTTTGCAGAATTTTACTAGAATAAAATGTTTGCCTGACCTTCTTGAGGTTAAAAAAAAAAAACCCAGTAGCGCAAAGGAATTAGCAGAACAATCTAATGTGTTTTCAAAAAGAACCTAGAAGGTCCAAAGACACAGTACCTTTTCTGTATCCCTTTCCCAAGAATGGGATGGCTGATGCGTTTTATGCCTGAGACACGGAGCTGCTGTCTTCCCTGCCCCTGCCCTGCCCGACCCAATGAATGTCTGTGTGTGACATGTGTTTTTACTGCAGACACAAGTTTAGTTTCACTCAAACTGTCTTCCCCAACCTGATGCCCTCCCATAATCCCCCTCCACCATGGTTGTTGTTCAAGTTGGGGGATGGCTAATGAATCTTAGGCACAGTGAAGGTGTGTGAACTGGTACGTGGCTGGAAGCCAATTATAACTGTTTGGTTTCGCTTCTCTTTATGCAGCTTGGAGACCTGCTGCCCTACAGTGACCCCATATTGGTGTTCTTCTTCCTCTCTATCTTTGGCTTGGTGACCATCATACAATGCTTCTTCATCAGTACCTTATTCTCTAGAGCCAACCTGGCAGCAGCTTGTGCAGGGATCATCTACTTTACTTTCTACTTACCTTATGTGTTGTGTGTTGCCTGGCAGGACTACTTCACCTTTTCTTTCAAAGTATTTGCGGTGAGTAAATGGAGAAGGGAACAGGGAGAAGAATGGCCCTACTAGCAAGGGCAGGATTTTGGCCTATTTTGGGTAGACTTCCTTGGCAGCCTTGATTGGGTGATTGGTAACAGAACCCAGGCTTAAATGACTAGGTCAGGAATAAGCAACTTGTGAACTTCCTGACATTCAGCCTACAGTTTCCATCAACCTGAGCATGTATAGCTGGCAGTGAAAGATAATGGGGTGGGAGGCAAAAAAATAAAATAAAATTGTGAGAGCCAAAGTTGCCCACCCCTTCACCAGGGCTAGTGAGATTATTTTCTTAACCCTCCCCAGTGGTTGTTTCTCACCGATCTCTTAAATGCTTTAGTTAAACGTACCCACATTTGTGCCTATCTTTCAATGATTGGTCCATCTCTCAAACCTACCAAGCGAAGTGGATTTCAAATGAACATTGTTTGGGACAGCAGGATTCAGCTGTTACCAGCAGTTGTATAGAAGACCTTTCCCCGTGTTGCTCCAAGAGCATCTGGCTTCAGGACAACATGAGAGGGGCTGAAAGGGACATGTCACATGAGAAAGGATCATGTGAAAAACGTTGTGAACTTCACAGAGAGTTTTGATTGTTGGACAGTATAGCATGTGATAAATGAATAAATAAGGAACTGCGCCATTGGCTCCTTTCATGTATCAAAATTTACTGGAGCAGTGTGGGAAGTGGTAACTGCAGCAATCTGGAATCAACCTAATCAGCTTTTACTGGGCTCCCTCTTAGTTATGGGTGGGATAGTCTGAACTGTTGTTTTCTTCATATAAAATCATAATTGATGAATATATCAAGAATGTTACTTGATGTGTTTCTTTCCTCTTTCTCCAGAGCCTGCTTTCTCCTGTGGCTTTTGGATATGGCTGCGACCACCTTGGTCAGCTTGAAGAGCAAGGGATTGGGCTGCAGTGGGACAACATCTTAGAAACCCCCTTAGGAAATCACAATTACAACCTAACCACTTCTGTGTGTTTGATGCTCTTTGATGGTTTGCTGTATGGGATAATAACTTGGTACATTGAGGCGGTCTTCCCAGGTGAGGAGTCATGCTTTCATCTTTCTTCAGGTTGCCCCACTTTCCTCCTTGCCCTTCCACAATGTATACCTGCCAACTGGGGCTGCTGCTATTGTTCCTGTCAGGTTATCTTACCTTGGGAAATTACAGCAGAGACATCTCGCAGGGCCAAAGCCCATGCATCATTTTAAAGACACCAGCAGAATATATGGCCTGATATGGATCGCTATTTAGACATCTAAATTACAGGCATCAGTCCTCCAACAGAGTTTGTAATCCCGATGATGGTGGAAGGAATAAAGTCCCTCTACCTCCCCTTTGCTTGGGCTCTGATCCAGACACTAGGACCCCATGCTTACTCTAAAGAACAGAACAAATTTGATGCTGCTAGTTCTATCTTTAAGGTAACTTTGAGTAGCAGTACTGGTTATGCCATGCTTTTCTTTCTACTGAAGCTAGTAAAAGCATGAACCCAGTCTCCACCATCATTTTTATGAAACTTTTTCTCTGGAGTTGTAGGCTCATGAAAGCAGAGCATTCTTGGCAGCAGTAGTCAGCCCCTTCCTTCCTCAGTCCTCAATCCTCAGACCCAACCCAGGCTGTGATCAGTGTGTGGACATTAGCTTCCATGACTGGAACTATGTCCAGTGGATATAAGGTCCTGCACAGAGGGTAGATTTGGCCACTTTGAGGGCAAGGGGACACCGCTTGGCAAGTGACTCATTTCTTGGGAGACAAAGGCCCACCCCTAAAACTTTGGGTTTGCACAACCTGATAAGCTACAGTGGGTTTTTTTTCTTTTTCTTTAACCACTATTGGTCTGTCTAGCTGCCCAAATGCTGTTGTGGTATTTCAGTGTGGTACATTTGATCTTTAGAAGTCAGAAACAGAAAGGTTCCTCTGTACTGAGATGGCTTGTTTTCACTGATCAGCTCCCTTGCCCCCTCTGCTGTGCTTGAGCCCTGCCTGCATAGCAGAGTGCTTGACAGCCGTGGCAAGCCAGATTCAGCCCACAAGTGTGGCTGCCGAAGAGAAGAGCCTCCTCCTTCCCTGTGGAATGCCACCTAGAAGACAAGAGGGGAGGAGGTGGTGGGAGGGAGGAGACTCCCCAGCAGGAGTCTCTTATCTGACTGGAAGGTCAAAAAGAAAGAAAAGAAAAGAAAAAGTGAACCATGGCAACCATGCAGGCTTGCGTCTCATCACTTGTGAACCCAGCCTATGAATTTTGCAGGAAACAGGGTACAAAGATTTGAGTAAGGCTTCAGTCTGAATAAGTCTGCTTGCTAGATTGGGAGTAAGTCACATGGAAGCATGTGGGATTTAGTATGGAATAAGCTTATATAAGATTGCACTGTAAGCAGAGCTTCTAATTTTGCAAGTGAACTTCTCAGAACTTCAAAAATAATTTTACATTTGAACCTACCTTTCACAGTCTGTTCGGTTCAGTGAGTTTAAACATACATTTCTCACAACATTTAATTTAGCTTTGCCATTTGATGCTGCTTGGAACACTGTCTGCAGGATATATTTCTGGATAAGTTGATTTCAAGCATTCTGAGTTTTACTAACTTGATTTGTGCTGCCTTACTTTCCAAAAAGGACAACTAGGAATCTCCTTTTTTCTAACCTACTTATTAAAAACTTGATCTGCAAGGTTGCAAATGGAAATTCTCAGTGGATGCAGAAATGTATTTGAGTGGTGGTTGAAATAAATGAATTTCTTACTGTAACTCATAAACTGAAAGAACCTGGTACTTCTTTCCCTCAATAGACTGTATTGATAATCTGTCCTTCTGCATTGTTGCTGCTTAGGTTATATACTTGGTGTTTCCCAGCAGTCACCTGTGGGGATTGATCATAGGTGCCAAGAAACTCACAGCTCAGCCAGGAAAATATGGATGAAGCGAGTTTTAATATTTACAAAATAACCCCAGTCATAGTGCCTTTGCGCATCAGAAATATTGTGAATTATTCTTCCTAAGTATCATGCACCATTGTGTCTCCTGTTCAGGCCAATTCGGCATTCCGAAACCCTGGTACTTCCCCTTTATGAAGTCCTATTGGTGTGGTGAAGAGTCTGGGGACCGACAGCTTCCTTCTGTTCCTGCAGAATCCTCTAAAAGTAAGTGGCTGATTTGTGAATTTGAGATTTTCGAAGTGTCTTCTGAAACAAACAAACAAACAGAGTTCAATGAAGAACTGTAGAGAGAGTCCAGGAAGTAGAGATTTAATAGTAACAGAACAGTGCCATTTATGTTGTAATTAGGGTTGTCAGCTTGCAACCTAGAGGCTGGATGAAAGCCTTTAAGAACCAATGTTTTATTTAGAGTAGATCCACTGAAATGAAGAGAATGTAAGCTTTGTGCAATACTAGAACTTGGGATCATCCAAAACTGAGCAGCTGATCTAGACAAAGGACAGTCCTTCTTTAGCATACTGTATGTACCTCTGGAACTTGCTACCATAAAATGACTATGGAGTAAATCAGATAGAGGTAGAGGTCTCATCATGGGTGGCAGCCATGATAGCTGATAGGATGTCCAAATGGACCTTTCCCTCTCCTTCCTAATCGCAGTATAGGCATAGTGTCTATTACTTTTGAATATTAGATAGGCCCAAACAACAGAAGGCCAACCAAGTCAAGCCTTACTTAGGAACACCCAAGAGTGCATCTCGCTGGCCACTGTTAGGAACAGAACACTTGACTAAATGGATCTTGCTCTATTTTAGCAATGAAATGCACTCGGGCCCTTATGCTCCACTGTCAGAGCCAAGATAAACTCAGCCTGAGCCTCTCCAAAAAGAACAGAAAGCTTGTCACCACGCCTAGTACAGACATTTCCCCTCACAGGCTTATTTAATGGAAATAAACAACAAGTTGAGCTTCCTCTCACGCTCATTTGAATTTCCAAGAATCACATCCCTTTGGACACAACAGGAAATGGCCACATTCTCATTCTGTTCCAATTTGTTCTCTCTTGCAATGGCTTCCCAGCTGATGGCTGAAGTAGACCTGCACTTGCTAAAAAGTGCATTGCTTCACTAAGTGGATTTACTTCCCTGTTCTGCAGTCTGTATGGAGGAGGACCCAAGCCATCTTCGCCTCGGGGTGTCCATTCAGAACCTGGTTAAGGTGTACCGTAACTGCAAGAAACTAGCTATAGATGGCCTGACACTGAATTTCTATGAAGGGCAGATTACCTCCTTCCTGGGACACAATGGAGCTGGAAAGACAACCACAATGTAAGAAAGCAGCACTGCTTATTTATCAAGTTGTTACATTTATAATCCACCTTTCCTCTCCATTTTGCATTTATATTCCACTTTCACATTTGTATCCCTCCTTTCTTTATTTTATCTTCAAAACAACCCATTGAGATAGGTTAGACCTTGAGTTTAGAGCTCAAAGTCATCTACATAGCAAAAACATCAAGTGAGTTTCATGGAGCAGAAGCTGGGTCCATAGCACACTGGTTCTCTGACACTGTTAAAGTGGAGCAGAGAACCTCAAGAGCCACGTTCTAACATGTCATATTAACTCTGTTTCCCTTCTGTTGCCTTCAGGTCCATCTTGACTGGATTATTTCCCCCAACATCAGGCACAGCCTTCATCCTGGGCAAAGACATCTGTTCTGAACTCAGCACCATCCGGCAGAATCTGGGTGTCTGTCCCCAGCACAATGTTCTGTTTGATGAGTAAGTCACACTGTGAATCATGGTCCGCTTGTATCTTTTTTTATTCATCCATAAACAGTAAAAATATCATGATGGCTTTGTGTATATGTGTTTGAAGAGGAGGCAAGCATATTGATGAGATGGCTCAGTGTATCATGTACTCAAAACAGGAATCCTAACAGTGAAGGCTACAACACCCTGGTTCCTGGCTGGCCAGGAGGTAGAGTTAAAGGAGTTATTTGCAGAGGTGTCATGAAGGGCTGCTTCCATGAATCTACAGCAAGCTGGGGGTGCGGGTTTTCTGTTGGCCCACCTGGCACCAACTTTACTATTTTTTGGCGCCAGATAAAGACCATTCTCTACTACAGGGCATTCAAGTAGCCTACTGAGGCCTGCTAGCTATTAAATAGGTCTAAATATTTATTTTTTAAGTTATGATTGAAAGATAGATTTAAAATTTGGTTTTAAATTTTGTATTGTCACCTTCAAATGATGTTTTAATATGATGTATCTTTCATTGTTATTTTTAATGTGGTTTGTGAACCTCCCAGGGTGGTATAGAAATTAAATAAATATATGTGTCTATGCACTTTTTAAAAAAAAATCCAGATGAAAGCTAGGCAGGACATATAGTTTCCATTCAGCTTTTCCTTGCCTTTATAAAATGAAAGGAAAAAACAACCTTGAGATGGGGATAGTGGGAGTGATTTAACCTTCACTTTCCTTTCTGTTTTCTGTTCAAATTGTCCTTTCTAGATGCTGTGCTACTTATATGGAGAAATTAGCTTTAGGAATTGATTCTTTGTATAAAAACATCAGGAAAAGGGTTAAGTAACCGCTGCCATTCTCACAAGCTCCCACAGCTACACAAGACAAACAACAACTTGAAGCTTTCAGAGTTCCCTTTTAAGTTGTTTGCATGCTGGAGACTTTGAGTTTAGTTGCCAGCATCTCCATTTAAAAAGTTCTGATATCAGCTGATGGGGAAGACCCAGTCCTGCCTCAGGCCCTGGAAAACTGCTGCTGACCAGGGCAGTCCATACTGGGCTGAATGGACAGTCTGTTCTTTATCTGATAACCAATTCCAATATTCCCATATATATTCCCTTGGTGTGGGCCCAGCCCAGAAAATATATTTTTCTGACCACATTTATACCTAAAAGTGGACATTCTGTGCTTTCTTCTTACCAAAAATGTGGTTCTTCTCCCCCACACTCCTAGGTTGACAGTGGAGGAGCACATTTGGTTTTATGCACGCCTGAAGGGGTTGTCAGAGACCTTGGTGAAAAACGAAATGAAGCAGATGGCTGCAGACGTTGGCTTGCTTGACAAACTCAAATCTAAGACAAGTCGACTCTCTGGTAACTTTAATTTATTCAGCCACATATGATTGCATATACTATGCAACTTGCATAGGCTTAAGAATGTAGGAGGACTGATTTTGGATCAGCCTGGGGATGCATCTGGACAGAGACACTGCTCCTCTTAATGAATCTTTGCTCTTTCACTGTAAGCTACAAGCACAATTGCAATTGACTTTCCACACAGGAACAGATTGAACGTGCTTTATTGTACGTCCCACTGTATTCTGTGTGCATCAGTGCCCGTAACACTTGGATCTTTGAAAAGGGTCCTGGCTTACCAGGCAGAACATAGGAAAAACCATGCTGGGTGAGACCAAGCTTCTGTCTGTCTAGCATTCTGTTCATGCAGTGGTCAGCAAGGTGCCCACAGGAAATCTACAAGCAGGGTATGAGTACAGCAGCACCCTTGCACCCATGTTCCCCAGCAACTGGTGCACATAGCCATGCTGACTCTGCTATAGGAGGGAACATGCAGGCATCAGGATTATTAGCCACTGCTAGCTAGCCTTATCCTTCCTATGACACCTGAAGCTTTTACAGCCTTTGCACATTCAGTAAACCCTTTGTGTGTGTTTTTATTATTTTAAGTAGCACTAAAATGTCTGCATTTTATTTATTTATTTAAAGTAGTGCTAAAACGTCTGCATTTGTACACTCACATTGTAGATACCATTAAATGTTACAGCACCATACCCTGTAATTCAATATATTATTTTTAAAATGAATGGAGGGAACACTCTTTCTATTTACTGGCATATTTTGGCATTCTGTAGATATGTTACACTCTTATAATGCCACGATACGGTAGATACAATTTTAAATGATGAATATAATCCCTTTCCATACACTACCATTTTACTAAGATGGTGATAAGAGTGATAAGAGTGACCAGAAAACATTGTTTTAAAGTCTTTGGTGGATAGCACTCTTCTTTTACAACACATCTTTTTTAAAGTATCCTTTCTGCTGTGCTCCTCTCATGTACATGTGTTTGCATTTTTAAGCAATAATCAACTATGCTGCTGTCAATAAATGAGACTGCAGTGGTTGATGTGTATTTAATACACTGAAGTAGAAAAAAATCCATTTTCTTCTTAGATCAAGAATCATCATATTACTATTAGTTTTTTTTCCAACTTTTGACCTATTTTTTACACTCCCCGTTTTAAAACAATACTTTACATAGGATTGTATTCTTTCTTCATCTTCTTTTTTTCTTATGCAACACAGTCTTGATGTTTTCATTAAATAATCCACTATAGTAGATTCTATAGACTAGTCTCCTTTCCCACCTGCCAGCACACACATTCATCAATTCCTTAATGAAAGCAACGCAACATCAAATGATAGTTGTGAATAATCAGGTTGTGAGTAATCAAGTCCCTGTACTGGGAATGAAGACCACCTAAACTTACATGTTTCCCCTTCTGCCACTGCACACATTTACATAAGTACACAGCAGCCATTGTGCAGGTATCTATTAATTTTAGGCTAAATTAGATTATTTCTTTTTGCTTTTGCTTCATAGGTGGCATGCAGAGAAAGCTTTCAGTTGCTTTGGCATTTGTAGGTGGCTCTAAAGTTGTCATTCTGGATGAACCAACAGCTGGTGTTGATCCATATTCTCGCAGAGGGATCTGGGAGCTTCTTTTGAAATATCGTGAAGGTACTTAACTTTACCTCTTACAGTCCTGTGAAAAAGTTTTATCTCTGCTGTATGATTGTTGTTGGAAAGTAAAGAGATATGTAGAGAGTGACCATATTCAGAGCACATGTGTTTTTGAATAGAAAATGCCCAGGTTCAACCCCTGAAGTCAGGAGCTGGGGAGCAGCCTTGCCTAAAACCCTAGAGAGCACCAGCAATATTATGCTTCATGTACGTCTTTGCCTTTTCCCCAGCCACTTACCTCCAGCCAGTTGTAGTTCCAGCCAATTAGCTTTTATTCTATAGAAGTTACAAACCAGCAAATGTAGCCTTGGGGTTCAGACTAGAATCCCAGTAACAACAGTCATAGTCTGATATAGCTTAATCCTGATCCTCTAAACTCTATTAGGTCTTCCAGGTTGCAGCAACATAAGTGAAAGTTCACCAGGGATTAGCCTGGAAGAGTATAATCCTCCCAGTTTAAGACAGGTCACCAAGCCCTGCCATCAGGGTGTGTGTCTTCACACAGTTCTGTCTGTGGCTTCCACCCACTTAGAATGTTGGGTTACATCATGCTGCTTCTCCCTCTTCATTTGATGCCAACCCTTGGATCTCTGCTTCTCCTTGCTGCTATTCACGAGAATCCTGTATTCCCACAGTTTCAAAATGGCCTACTTGATTATCACAGCTTTTCTCACCCATCTTCTGCTCCTGGAGCCTTGATTCCTCAGCAGCCTCTTCCCCGCCTTCCTAGTCTGACTCAGAATCTGTCCCCAGATCTTCTGGAGGTGCCTCTTTAAAGTTGCTGGGATCAATCCCTGCATGAGCAAGCTCATGATGCTACTGGTGCTTGTGCACTTTTGTTGATTTCTTCTGTTTAATTTTTCCTGTAAACTATTTTGGGATTAGTTTCCAATGAGAAGCAATATACAACTATTGCTAATAAATAGACCTGAGACTGCACTTTCCTCCTGCACAGCCTTAAAACAAGATCACTGTGCAGGGGTTGTGGGGTTTAGTGGTTTATATACATTTTGATATTCTGGAGTAAAAAATCTGGACTTGAAATGAAAATCATTTCAATACTTCCAGCTGGAGCCTTTTCTGATAGCTAATAAACCACTGAGAATATCAAGAGATTACTTGAGGATTTGAAGGACAGGTTAAAATATATGCTTATTTGGCAAGGATTCAGGGTGTTGCTATCAGATGTTTACCATATCTTTCTAGAGGGGAAATAATTCCATGGAGTTGATTTACTTGTATTCAGTTAGAGAACAGTTCCAAAAATGGAACTGGAGAAAGAAGATTGGCAAACAAGCTGGGTGAACTATCCAGTTCTTTGATTTTGTACCAGCGTAGAAGAACTGTCCTTTTAAAATCCTGTCTAATATAGTATGCAGATCCCCTCTGGTCAGATTTAAATCTTGGTTAGGGATTAAAATGTAATGAATAAATTCCAAGAAATCAGAAATACATTTTAACTTACATAACAGAAAAAACATAAATAGAAAGGGGCCTTTGGTGAGCATACAAACAGTCCTCTCCCATATGTTGGGGAAATGTGAAGTGGTTCAAAATGTTCAAATTGGTATATTGAACCCACTGCACTTCAGTGTGGCCAGGGAGACCCCTTTACTCCTTTGTAATGTATTGCTGCATTACGAAGTCAGTGGGACCATGTCATAATCTCCCTAGTATCTTATTTCTTATTGGCAGCAAAGCAAGAGTGGGCCAAAGAGATAAATATCTTCCACTCTCAGACTGGTTGGCAAAATGTAGGATATTCTCCTAGTGATTAAATTTAGTATGAGCAAAACTAAATTAAAAGCTCTTTAAGCTTAGGACCAGCCTAGGCAAGTCCCTTCTCTAAATTTCTTCTGAAAGTATCTTCAGGACCTCCCATATTGGATTGGGATCATGGCGTGCAGAGAATGGAGAGCTGACCCTAGGGCTAGCCCATGACACTTCACTGCCTGAAGCAAAATACCCTAACCCTTCCCTTTCATGGGCAAAACCTATTTGGCATTGCTGTTGAGTAGAGAATTGCCTCAGGGCTGGTTTTGGGACAGGATGTTCCAAATCTTCATATGCTAGGTACTTTATGAACTAATTTAGGGGCACAGGATAGGCTGTGCAGCACACCACTCTCTCCTTCAACAGCTTGCTGCTACCTTCAAGCATCTGCCACCTGAGGCACCTGCCTCACTTTCCCTTGGGTAAGGCCAGCCCCAGTTAATCTTTACCTCCCATTCTGTTTTTCCTGATGCAAAGTAGCTCTTCACAAGCTGCTATTTTTCCATTGGATAAAACATGCAGGTACAGGATCACTAAACTGGCATGGTATATTCTTTTCTTGGTTTTCAGGGCGCACCATCATTCTTTCCACACATCACATGGATGAGGCGGACATCCTTGGAGATCGGATTGCCATCATATCTCATGGCAAATTGTGTTGTGTTGGCTCTTCGCTGTTCCTGAAGAACCAGCTGGGGACAGGCTATTATCTGACCTTAGTCAAGAAGGATGTGGATTCCTTACTGAGTTCCTGCAGAAACAGCAGCAGCACAGTGTCTTACCTGAAAAAGGTATCACCTTCAGAAGCACTTTCTGCTTTGTTGCCAATGCCCTTCTTTAAAGCAACACACACACTAAATGGGGAGATTATTGAGATCCTCAAATCTACTGTCCTTTTTTTCCTTTAGATCAGAAAGAAACTAATAATACAGCTTGATAATAGTGTTGAGTTACAGGAGACACTTTCATTTGGAGCCTTGACATGCTGGCACTTGGCTACATTTCCTCATTTTCAAAACAATTGAAAGGGAAATTTGCGTTCCTTCTGAGAACTCAAAAATGCCAGTCTTTGAAGCTTGGCTTTGTCTGCTACTTTTGAAGTTTTAGCTTCTCTTTGAGTCTTTTCAAACCATATCTTCTATAACATCTTCTGTGTGCACATGATCCGGTGGGACCCAGTTTCAGGGTTACAGATGCCATCTTCTCACCTCTCTTGTACATAGAGACGGAACAGGGAGTGGCGCTAGTGTCAAAGGACAGTGTCATTGAGCATCTGCTAAAGCCCATGCACCAGTAGGGGCTCCACCTCCATTTTCTAAAGCTTGCTGGTGCTGGTGCTGCTCCTCCTTGATGGTCTGGATGTGCTTTCTATGAGGGAGAGGAGAGGAGAGGAGACTTCCTAATGCCTTGTCCTCTTGCTCTGGGAGGTGGTATAGAATAGATCCAGAGGGAAAGGCAAATGAATGGTCAGCAGCTACACTGGTGAGAAGGAAGAAGTAGGCATGCTCAAAGAGAGTGTCCCACTGAGCCAATATTTCCTAGGTTCTCACAAAGTCTGACAATGCAACTTTATAACTACAAGATCATGTTAAGATCTGCTAATCCAGACCTGAAAACAACATTTGATAGACAAGGTGCTAGATTGGATGGGTTGTATCCCAGTAACTGTTCCTGCTGCTGGAGCAGCTAGCCTGCCGTGATCACCCTCAAAAGATGAAGGATTGGGAGAACCCCTCAACAGATTTTGGGGTGGGCTTCAAGAGAGAGAAAAGAAGAAAATTCTGTTGGGCAACAAGAGTTTGCTCATGGGGGAGATGGATTTTATGTATAATGAAGTATTGGACTGGGGGAGTCCATGTTTCATTTATCCTGTGCTGTGTTCCGTCTCCATGGATTGAAAAAAGAAGGCCAGAATTTCTGTCACATGCATTGGCCATGAGTTAGAGGCAAAACCACAGCCTTAAAGGCATAGCAGAGTTCCTTAGACATCTGTTTCCTCCTGTGTTACTTTTTTTTTTTTTTACAAGAATTACACTTTTTTATATAGAGAGACTTCATTCAGTTAAAATATGGTAATTGGATCACTTTTCTTTTGTGACTAGGATGACAGTGTGTCTCAGAGTAGCTCCGATGCTGGGCTTGGCAGTGACCATGAAAGTGACACCCTGACAATAGGTAAGGGCTGCGAAATACAGCAAAGCATTCTGTGGCTTCTTGTGCTCCTGCTTTAGGCGGGCTAGGTTGCCAAAGTGTGACTTTTAATCATCAGTGAGACAACTGATATTTGGGGATAATTTGAACACTTGGCAGACCCTCATCTCCTCTCCCCACAGCTTGCAGAAATAAATGGACAATTTGGTCAAGGTACCATGGGTTGAATCCAGGCTGCATGTCCAACAATGGTAAAATCTGAGTGGAACTCTGCTGAGAACGTTCCTGAATAGAGCTGGCCCTACCATTAGGAAGGGTGAGACCATTGTCTCAGGTGGCACATGCTTGGAGGTGGCACTAAAGTGTTGGAAATTGCTCTGTGCCCCCTAAGTTAGCCTGCTTCCTTCAGATGCAGTGGGGAATGCTGTCTTGCCACTGGTGTTGAAGACCCACCAGTCTATTTGGAATGGGAAGAGTACCACTGTGTTCTTTGCTGCTTTAGGAAGCAAAATTTCTTGGGCTGACTCAGCTCCCAGGGAGGAAGCTGGGGAAGACAGCTTTTGGCAATACTCCCATCTTCCTGCATCTCCCAGCACCATATTCCTCACTATTTTAGTGGGTCTTCAACCCTTCAGGACATTTTTGAAGCACGTAAGTGGCTTCAGGTTGAGAGGCAATTGACATAAATGCTTCCCATTTGATCAGTGGGATCCTTCTCCTGGATTAAATCTTTCCCAGGATTGTAGGGCCCTTCAGAGGAGGCAAAGTCTGGAGCCTACACTCTGCTTCCTTGTACATTCAGTTGCTTTGAAATTACTGGAGTATCTTTCTGTTCCCCCATCCTGGTACAACCCCCAGAGAAATTGGTGCTTGTCATTAAAAATATCAAATTATTGTTTGCTGTAATTAGCACAATGCAAAATAAACTGCCAGCAGTAGTGGGGGCTAATAATAACTTGGTTCTTTCAGATGTGTCTGCAATTTCTAATCTCATTATGAAGCATGTCCCTGAAGCCAAGCTGGTGGAAGACATTGGTCACGAGCTGACGTACAATTTGCCATATGAAGCAGCTAGAGAGGGAGCTTTTGTTGAGCTGTTTCATGAGATTGATGACCGCCTCTCTGACCTGGGGATTTCCAGCTATGGCATTTCTGAGACAACTCTGGAGGAGGTACATGGGCCACACCCTTTTTAGGGAAGGAATAGAAGCCATTCTCAAAGTGTGAGGATCTAGTCATGCATCTTCCATCCACACTTGGGCAAACTTGTCTATGTGAAGCAGGTCTTGCAGTTGGCTTTTCAACCCCAAGCCTCACAGGAGGTGGCCTATTAGGGCTAGAACCTTGACTCTCTGGAAGGCCATCTGCCCTGCTACTCCGCTGTCCACAGGGACTTGCTAAAATAAAGGTACAAGGGCCCTGATGATTTGGCTTTCCTGTGACACCCCGCCCCCTGATTAGCTTGGCTTTTCGCACACATAGGCTTCATTTGCTGGTACCCACCCCTGCTTGAATCTTTGTGTGTGAGGGGTTTTGCTGACATCAAATTCTCTCCTCTGCCCTGTTCATAATCCCTTTTTGAAAATAAGCATGTCCTTATGATACAAATCCTTTAAACAAGCAGACACACAGAGAGAATGTAATTTACAGAGAGATATGTAAATTTGCTTTAATTTGGCTACGCAGCCACCCTAAGCTTAAAGTTACTGGTGGGGGACCAGCTATGCACAGGTAACAATCAGGGCCTTGGACACCACCTCATCCTCTTCCCATTTTAGTCCTCCAGCTGTTTTCCCAGGATACACTGCACTGGAGCACCAGGTAAAGTAGGATGAGAGTCACCCTTTCTTCCCTGCTGCTCAACTGTCATGCAAGGAGGGGTGCCTGAGTGTCGGTAGGCAGGATTGCCCCTCTGCAAGTTGACTGATGAAGTTCTCACTAGTTGGGCTGAGGGAGTGATTCAGCTTGTCAGCACCCAGAGTGTGTATGGTGCTGCCAGGTGGAATCTCTCCCCCACTAATGAGAACCTTGTGAGCCAGGTTGCATGGGGCAGGCAGGAAGGGTCCAGTTGGCTGCTTCTTCTAAAGTCAGCAAAACAGAGCAGGCCCTTCCACGGTACCTCCTTTGACTCAGGCTCCAAGGAAGGTCTGAGAAGGAGGACTCTCAGATGGCCAGAGTCCCTTGGCCAGAGTGACAGCCCTTCTTTGCTGCTCTTGTCAGAGGATTCTTTTTTTTTATCTTGAGAATGGCTTAGTATGTCAGTTGGGTTTGGATGACACAACTCTTAGGGTTTCCAAGGTGTCTTGGGTTGGTTTATACACCACCCCAAGACAATCGGGGATTCACACAATTTGCTAAGCCACCTCCCTGGTGTTGAGTGAACTCACTCAGTGTGTGGATTTTTGCAATGTTATGAAATGGGGAAAGGGAAGTATTGTAGAACTTTGAAAGTATAGCCGCTTTACGAAGCATCTTATTCTACTATCATTATTTCTGTCTTTCAGATATTTCTCAAAGTGGCAGAGAATACTGGTGTGGATGCAGAGACCTCAGGTAAACATGGTGTCATGAGCTGGCCTCTTTCTACCTCTTCTACTCTCCAGCAGACTCAGACAAGGGTTTAGGAGCACTGTCCTTTCACTAAAGTGTGACATGATGAAGAACAGTATAATTGAAAGTACCATTCTCTTTGAGATGTGGAAGAAGGAACTGCTCATGTAAAGGGTGGAACTCAAAGCTTCTCTGCTTTTCCTTCTTTCTGAAAAGTTTCTGACTCAGAGTGGCTGTTGCTGCATGAGAATGAGACAGCAGGAATGCTGGGCACTTCTTAATTGGTCTGCTCACATCATTTTTCATCTCCTGACAGAGACAAGGAACGCCCCCTCAATCTCCTCCCCACAGCTCTGAAATGACCCCTGTTTTCCAAGACAGACTGGGTTTCATGCTCTGTCTGATAGTTTTCACTAGGTAACCTTGAAACTGCCTGACCATCTCTGCCCCTCTACCTTCTCCTCAGAATTGGATGAATCTATCTGAGCAGACTGTAACATGTGATAGTTGGGCCCCCTGTCTACATTTGTGGGGTAATTTTTAGACCCCTATATGGTGGCTGGAGGAAAAAAAAATGTCTGGCCATCCTGTTTGAAATCCCTTCTTCACATGGATCAGCTCAAGCAAGGGGAAGTCCATACCTGCAATAATGGCCTCCAAGAATGTGTGGCACTGGTGCAAGGGCTCTTCATGTGACTACACCAGTGTATATGTAAGCAGCTCTAAAATGTTACCGCCTCCAAGGAGCAACTTGAGGATGCACCATTTGATCTAGCTGTTAGCAGGAAGGTTCACAAGCCCTAAAGCAGAGGTTCCCAAACTGGTGGCCCATGAACTCCATTCATGTCATCCCTGGAATTGATGCAGAACAGTTCAAAGGTATCTGTTCTTGACCTTGACCTTGATTTTTTTTTTCCTGAGGACAGATTGAAACTAGACCAGGATCAGATTTTTGAACAAGCTTAAGAAAGCCCTGATCTGAGAAGTTCATAGTGTAACACTGATGCAGCCAGTGTAACGTGGTAGTTAGAGTGTTGGACTGGAATCTGGGAGATCCAGGTTCTAGTCTCCATTCAGTGGGTGACCTTGCGTCAGTCATGGACTCTCAGTCTAAGCTACCTCACAGGATCGTTGTGAGGGTAAGATTGAGAGACAGAGGAACATTATGTACACTGCTTTGAGTTTCTTGAAGGAAAAAAGGAGGAAAATAATAATAATAATAATAATAATAATAATAATAATAATAATAATAATAATAGATAATTTTGCCTTAGAAATTGTGAGATAAATGGACCCTTCTTAGTGACATGGCCTGGAGGTTGTAGTTTTCAAAAGGTAGCACTGGTTTGGATGATGACACTGATACTGGAGGAAAAAAGTGTTGCTAAAGTATGAGTCGTAGAACAGTGCCTCCTCCTCACCATGCACAACTTCTTAAATGGTCTGTTGATACCTCCATCATAAAATGAAAAGAGATGCAGTTATAGTAGTTTTGTTAATAATAAAATGGAGCTGCTAGTAGACCAATTCTAGCAAACTTCAGTGAGCAGACACGAACTTTTCTTTTCAGATGGCACACTGCCTGCCAGAAGAAACCGTGTCTTTGGAGACAGGCAAAGCTGCCTTCGTCGAATCACAGAAGATGATCCTCTTGACCCCAATGATTCTGACATAGATCCAGGTAAAAGATGAAAGCATCTGTGTATATTTGTTTGCCTTCAGTGAAATTAGATTGTAAAAGGGTATGTTATAGCTAATGGATTAATATGGTTGTTGATTGACTAAGGGGTGATGCACACATACATATTCATTTTTAGTGGTCATATTTTCAGATGAAGACTTTTATGTCTGAAGATAGGATACAGATCTTGTTACGTCCATTTTGCTTGTGCTTTACAGATTGTGAAACAACTTTCTATATGTACTCATTGACAGAATTGGGTATTTTCAACCAGTCTTTTGTTCTCCTTCTGCTAATTTTGTTCTGTTAAATAGCAAAAGCAGAACAAAATTCTATATTAGCACAAGTGTACATTAATGCTAATGTGTACTTCTGCACTTGCGCTAATGTACATTAGTTAATGCAAATTAGCGCTGTAAAATTAAAACCTGCAATGCAGGTCTGTGGAATACACATGGCTTGGAAAAAGCCTGTCTGCTGGGGAATTTTCAGGTCAGATTCCTAGAAATCCAAAACTATTTGAATGCATGGTGGATTTCTCTGAAAGTACTATGTGACTGGGCTGTTAAATATCAATACAATGAGGCTGGGATGTTCCTGTGCCCTTATAGTTGACACCAGAGGTAAGAGAAGCAGGCATGACTTTTAAGCCTGAGGGCTATGAAGCTCTGGTAAGTGGTGTCACTGATATATTTCTACACCTATCTTCACACAATTTCTAACGTTTGCTGAAATTGGGATCCACATCCTATCTAGAAGAGATTGCTTGGCTTGGGTTAGAGGGACTAACATCTCATGAGCTACAACTGTTTGCCTGCAGAATCACGAGAGACTGACCTGCTAAGTGGGATGGATGGCAAGGGATCCAGCCAGGTGACTGGCTGGAAGCTGACCCAGCAACAGTTTGTGGCTTTGCTTTGGAAGAGACTTCTTATTGCCAGACGCAGCAGGAAGGGTTTTTTTGCTCAGGTAAGATGGGTTCTGGTTGTTAAAAATTGCAAGGTTGTGTTTTTTTTGATGTTGACATTACATTTCTTCATGGAGAGCATGGGACAGCCTTAGTGGCATTAAGCTTCATGCATGAAAACAGTGGAAGAAATTTTAAGGATACTCAGTGCTTTTAATAATCTTTGTAAGTTATCATTTTCTTCCCCTGGAAGACTTTCCACATTGTCATAGCTGTCAACAATTGACAGTATCCAATTAGCTGGCATGCAGTTGTAGTTACTATTTAATAAAGTCTGACAGCTGACTCAGCAATAGAATTTGATTTAGGAATATGAGAATTTCACATCAACATCCAGCATTGGGATTTGGAAAATGAAGTAAATGTTGACATGCTTTTACAGTGCTGAGTTAAGTCATGATTTGTGTGGTTGATTTCCAAATTAACTTTGGGATAATATTCACTTTTCCTTGAGTGTTTTCACTGGTGAAATTCAGCCTCATTGTCACTAGAGGGTAGTGTGGTTAAAGAAGTCCATATTTCAAGTGGAAATTTTCTGGGTATCCTGATTCTAGGAGGAGTTGGAATGGAGTATCTGTTTTCCTAGCAGTGGGAGGGAGCAGGAATCACCATTTCTCAGAAACCCTGAGGACAACATCTCTTCCTTCTCCTTCTGTGATTTCAGATTATTCTCCCAGCTGTCTTTGTTTGCATTGCTCTCTTGTTCAGCTTGATTGTGCCTCCCTTTGGTAAATATCCCAGCCTGGAATTACAACCATGGATGTATGAACAGCAATTCACATTTATCAGGTACACATTAATTCTTAGGCATGAAGTCAAATTTAAACTGTGAATTGGGGGTATGTTGGCAGGGGGGTGATATACCTCCCGTAGATTCATACAACAGCGAGATCTGCACCATTTCAGTAACCAAAAACAAGGCAGTATGAAAAAAGCACAATATATTTAAACAGTACAAATGAATGAAATTAGTCCAGGGGGCAGCACAGAAAGAGCTGAAATTATCATAAGAATGCTGTAGAAAATTCAAAGCCTAAATGCCAACAGGATGCTTACCCCACAGTCTTCAAGGGAGGGAGAGGGAGATGGTGGGGGATGAGAGAGAGAGAGAGAGAGAACAAGAGCAAAGGAGCATTCCTTAAATGAGAAGCATTGTTCACTAGTGGATAGTAATGCTCTTTCAGACAAAGTAAGCAATCTCTTCTGAATTCTTCTCTATTCCTTTACCTTGATGCATCGCTGTGTTGCTCTGCCTGCCTATTAGCCCAGAGGCCTGATGGTTTCTTTCTGATACATCCACAGCAATGATGCTCCAGAAGACTCCAGTACTGAGAAGCTGTTAAATGCTCTTCTCAATGAACCTGGTTTTGGGACCCGCTGCATGAAAGATTATTCTATCCCGTAAGTGAACTCTTTGTGAAATTCTTATACAAAGTGAGTGGGGCGGGGAAAGAAAGAAGAAAGCCAACCAAAGCAAATGTTGGGTACCATTGGAATCCATACTGGATCTCTTGGAAGTTATGTACAAAGTTAAGCATATGCCACAAATCTTTGGGGGAAACTCTAAAAATCTCCACCTGCCACTGATGCTTGCAATACCATGCTTAGAAATGCCTGGACAAAGCCTGATGAAGTCTCAGCAGCCAGAGGAGTTGCTGAGTACACTTTCCAATGTTCCAGAGCAGGGCCTCTTCAGTTCCCTGTATCTTCTGGAAACCATCATCCCATAGCAGTATCATGGCTGTTGTTTGATATAGAACTTTGAAGGCTGCTAATTGGGTGGGTGACTATTTCCCTCATACCAGAAATCTGCTTCTACTGCACCTTGTTCTAATGGAACAATTTGACTGACCACAGCATTTTCATGCGCATATTAGGTGGCAGAACATACGTAATGCTCCTGAATTCTTTCAGTCATATCTGAAAGCTGTTGATGCTCTTCTGTCTTTATTTGATCTACCTTTGTGCAGAGATACTCCTTGTTCTGCGGGGGAAAAGGACTGGAGCACTGCTGCTGTGCCTGAGACAGTCATGGAAATCTTGCGGAATGGCAACTGGACTATGGAGAACCCCTCCCCATGTTGCAAATGTAGCAACAACAAAATGAAGAAGATGCTTCCTTTGTGTCCTCCAGGGGCTGGTGGTTTGCCTCCTCCCCAGGTACCAGATACTTGGTTTATTTTTGCATTCTGGAGCCTGTAGAAGGGTTATTGTTTTAGACTGACTTCCTATCGATACTTACGAAGCAGGTCAGAGCAACTCAGTTTCCTGTAGACAGATAAATAGATTAGATCAATATGGAAGACAGAGTAGATGGATTAGCTAGGTGGATTAGATTGAACTATGCCATATATTTGTGTAGAATATAACTGATCATAGTCTGTACAGCGGAGATAAACTTTCATACTACAAACCAGGGGTGATGAAAGTTTGCAGGCCAAGTTCAAGCTAGCTGGCATCCCATCCAGCCCTTTGGAGTTCCCAGATGGCACCAACCCCTTCCCAAAGCCCCACCCATTTTTCCCAAGCACCAATAGTTTGGTGGTTTCCTGACTTTTGTGTACTCCCCCCTTCCATTCTGAAAGTTTGAAATGGTTCTCCTGAGGCTGAGTTAGCAGTAAGAGCTTTTAGCTAAAAGATGCAAGAATTTGGGATGTTTGGGGAGTTTTGGCCTAGCCCTCCTTTGCCTTCAGTCCCACACACCACTGAGAGCCTCTCCAAAACTGAATTTGGCCTTTAGGCTGAAAGAGGTTTAACACCCCTGATACAAACTATAGTTTGTGAAACATTCTCATTAGTTCTTTTCTTATTCCATATTTACATGAATAGTCATCACTGTTGTAACTACACTAAATCAACCTGCATGAACCATTTTTTCCAATAGTCTGCTAAAATATGTGATTAAATCAAACAGGCTGTAATGTGTTTTTCCATTCACCCATTGTACATTGTGTCTCATTTTTCAAAAAGTTATGAGCAAGTTTTCAACTGAGGCTCTGAGTTTTTACATGAGATTAGCTTTCAGGTAGCCTGAATAAATGATGAATGACATTATATGTGTTTCATGATTAACAATATCCTTGATTTATTTTTTGGGTTTCTTCATTCCATCCTCTGCCCTACACCTCCAAATTGGCTACAGAAAATGCAAAACACCACAGACATCCTGCAGAACTTGACGGGCCGCAACATTTCTGATTACCTGGTGAAAACCTACACAGAGATCATTACAAAAAGGTACCTTGCTGCTGCAGAGTCTGCCTTCCTTCATTCCTGTTGTACTTCATTGGGAAGAGAAAGATTTACTCTTCAGAGTAAACTCATCCAGAGCTATAGATTTAAGTGGAATTTAGGTGTGGTTTGTTGTATGTCTGGGAATTGTTCACAGGTATAGCATTCCAGCTTCATGACTTAATCCAGTATTTTCATAAAAAAGATGGCATGGAAGACCAATAGTAATTCTAAGGAGTCTTTTTGATACTGCCTTCACAACATAGAAGGTGCTACAAAAGGTCTGTTCCCCCATACACTGCACACGAGACATCCCCAATGCCAGCATTTCTTTTTCTTTAAACTGATAAAGTGCCACTGAACTCAATGTGCCTTTGGGCAGATGTGCATGGAAGGGATTTTATGCATTTTCTCTGTTAGTAGGTGTTAGTGCAGGTGTTCAACCTCTCTATTATTCCCCTTTCAGCTCAGATTCTTTTGCAACCATTTTTAAAGCCTAGCTTGTAAGCTGTCCTGAGTTGCGATAGTGAAGGATGACTTATAAATGGTTTAAATAGGTAGGTAGGTAGGTAGGTAGGTAGGTGTGCCTCCTCTGAATTGTGTATCAGAAAAAGTTCTCATTGAAAACCCATTGGGAAGAATATAACTGCTTTTCCATCTAGTCCACTATGCAAATTTAGACAGAAGAAAGACAACTCCCAGCATGTCCCAGCCAGCTGTGTTGGGACCTATTGGGAGCTGTAAGCCTTTTTTTCTCTTTAAATGTGCATAGGATTGCATCTTAAGTGTCTGTTTACAGTACAGACTTAATGTCTGCTTTATACTTATTTAACAGTCCTTGTTTCTCCCAAAGTATCCTGAGAACTGTACTGTGCACTGAAGTACTGGGAATTCAGTGTGAACCACCCATCATCCACCAACTCAGAGCTAACAATTCTCAGAATTGATTGAGGAGAAGTAATAAGCCTTAAAAGAGATAGACTAAGAGCCCTATTGCATGTTAAGCTGCAGCTGTATATAATGGAAACCTGCCAGTGTTTTCTGCATAGAAATTTATTTGTTTGATTTCTATTACTACCCAATTGCCAAAGCTGTCTGGGTGGCTCACAACAATTAATTATTACTATTACTGAGTAATAACTATTATTACTAAGTAATTTATTACTATTTTAGATGCAGTGTGTCGTGTTGTTGTTACAGTTTTGTTTTTGGTTTCCTTCCTTGTAAGCCATCCGGATACTTTTTTAGTAATGAAGGGCATAGAAAAAAAATTAAATAAATAAATCAAAATACAAGCCCCCTAATAAAAATACAAACACAATAAAACACAGCATAAAATTCCAGTATGGCAGGACCCCATATCTGCTGGTTCAGTTACCATATTTTCATTTAACCATAGTTGACCTCAGTCCAAAAGAGAAGTTGTAAAGTGCCTAAGAGAAGTCTTAAAGTGTTTCCTTTAAGTGAAAATTCTTAATTTGATAGGGAAAGGGGGGGAAAAATCATATGCTGAGTTTGCTAGGCCATATGGTAAGAACAAATCTTTTATCCATCAAATCGTAAAAAAAGATGTATATAGTGTTTATTATTATCTGTTGTTTCATGCCTCTGCTAGGGGGTTGGAACCTATCCTTGAAGATATGGGTGTCCTGCTGTATGCAAATTTAAAACACCTTAAAATTCTGATATACAAAAATTCAAGTATACAGTTTTAACATCTAAAAGATTTTCATTAAAATGTTGACCTTATTTTAAAAAGGTGACATAACTGATCATATGTTGTTAAGTGTCAGGGAACAGAGGTCAGTTTTAACCTCACAATAAAAAGATGACAATGTTGGTGCCAGGTGAGCCTCAGGCCCCCACTGAAAACACCCTCCTCCTTTTTGTCTCTTTCTGGGCATCCCTTCAAGGTGGCAGTTGGAGGAAGGCCCCAGATATAGAGTGTATGGTCTGGGGAGATTGAGATCAGGAGTCATTATGTATGTAATAATGGTGTGTTTTTTTCTATTTTTTGCATCCACAGTTTGAAGAATAAGATGTGGGTGAATGAAATGAGGTAAGTGCGTCTTTCTTCCTGTGGCCCTTTCATCCTTTTGCACCTCACCTGCATCTTTTTCAGTATAGTGCTCACACCTGTAATCGGTTTACCAAACTTTTCTGAGTTTATTCCCATAGACCTCACAGTTTTTCCTCACTGAATTATGCCATGTAATCACAGGCAGAGATAAAATTCTGACTTTGTAAATAGATATGTAAGGAACAATAATGGCAAGACAGGATTTTCTTTCAGAGGCTTTTCTACATGAGGCATTCCCTACTCATTTTATTTATGGATTCTTGACACAATGTGATGACCCTCCAATTTCACTTCTGTGCATAGACTGCACTTTCAGTGAGGTTTTCTTTAATGAAGGAAATGGAACCATGAAAGTGAAAGAGAGTGCGATTCCCTCTGACATACTTGTGCTATTCTGCTTGCCCATGATACCACCTAGAGCTTATGCTCCAGAAAAGCAGGAGTAAAGTTTGTGTAGTGATTGGATCTCAATTTTGCGATGAAACCAAAAACAGGTATAGAGATCAACAGCTTCATGTAGAAAAGCACCAATCTCTAAGTCCATCTTTTGCTAACATGACATTCACACAAGTCCCAGTCAAAGGCCCTGCTGGATGGGAATTCTGGGAGTTGCAGTCCAAATGCCTCTGAAGGCCACCAGGCTGCAGAAGGCTGAAGTAGGCTATAGTCCACAAATGTTTATGCCGGAGTATATTTGATAGTGCTTCAGGTGACATAATTTTCCTTGTTTTTCATAGATACGGTGGCTTTTCATTGGGAGCCAGTGGTTCCCTCGTGGTTCCTCAACATGAAGAAGTTAATGATGCTATCCAACAAGTGAAGAAATTATTGGAAATAGCGAATGTAAGCATCTAAGAAATTTTCTTGTAAATGACATCCCCCCAAGGGGTTAAGAGATTAGGCAGTATTTGGGAGCTTGGCCTTGCTACTTCATTTGGAATGCAGGTGATTTGCACGTGTGGCAGAGACCCTCATCTCTTGGAATAGGATAGGAATGGATGCTGCTGTTGTTCAGTCACAAAGTTGTGTCTGACCCTCTGCAATTCCATGGACTACAGCATGCCAGGTTCTCCTGTCCTCCACCATCTCCCGGAGTCCACCCAAGCCCATGCCCACCGCACCAGTGACTCCATCCAGCCACCTCATCCTCTGCCGTCCCCTTCTCCTTTTGCCTTCAATCATTCCCAGCATCAGGGTCTTTTCCAATGAGTGTTCCCTTCTCATTAGGTGGCAAAGTATTTGAGCTTCAGTTTCAGTATCTGTCCTTCTAGAGAGCAGTCAGGGTTGATTTCCTTTAGGATTGACTAAAACAAAGAAAGTAGCCAAGCGCATAACAATATAATTCTATTCATTGCTATGTGGAAGTACATTCCACTGAATTCGATGAGGCATGCTGGGACTTTATGGACTTTTTTCTGTCTAAACATGCCTAGGAATGCACCCAAACAGACCAAAAACAAGTATATTTCCATTGGGGTTTTACTTTTCTTTTGTTCTTTTAGGGGAGCTCTGGAGATCGTTTTCTTAACAATCTGGAGAGCTTCATGAAGGGCATGGACACAAAAAATAACGTTAAGGTATGTCTGCCTGGTTAATGCACCTGGATAGCCAAATCCAGGTGGTTCTAAACTTGAATGGCTGTGGTAGTGTTTGCCAAATTTTTGGCCATGAGGGCATTTTTTACGTTAAAAATTGGAAGCATGTGCCCTGTAGCATTTAGAAAGGGGTGTGTGTGTGTGTGTGTGTGACCAAATAAAAGTGTTCAACCTCAGTGGACCTCTGCTGTCTTACATATTTGCATGCGGTACTGATCTAGGTATGCTTATTGAAAGAGCAAGCCCAGAGCAGTGACCAACACAAAGTTGCAGCTTTCCCTGAGAATAAAATAATTCTGGGACGAATTATTATTATTATGTAGTGGGACAAATTGCTGAGTTCCATCACTCTAAGGCAGACTTATGGCAGATGTAACAGAGGCTGACTGAAGGGAGGGGAGTCAATCATGCAGGCAGCAATCATAAGCACAGTTATTCGGGAGTACGCCCTATTGAACACTGAGTACTCCTGGGTAGATAAGCATAGACTTGCACCAACACTGATGGCTGTTGTCTCCTCTGTAGCTGCAATCACGAGTGCTTTTAATTCCTGTCTCCCCATTCATGTTAGTGCACTCTCTTTTCAGGTGTGGTTCAATAACAAAGGCTGGCATGCAGTCAGCTCCTTTCTCAATGTGATCAACAACGCTATTCTCCGAGCCAACCTGCAAGATGGAGAGAATCCCAGTGCCTATGGCATCACGGCATACAACCACCCCCTGAACCTCACCAAGCAGCAGCTCTCTGAAGTTGCCTTGTATGTTCTGTCATGGCAATAGAGGGGCTGGAGGGTGGGGAAGGGGAAAAAGGCTGTTTTATCTGCTCTTACTCCAGGGCTTAACATCAGCCTCTTTCTATTGATGTTTAGCATTGGGCATCTTTCAGTTTACATTGGATTTTATGCCCTAGAGCAGGAATGGAAAATGTGTAGCCCACCAGATTTTGTTAGCCTACAACTCCCATGATCCCTCATCATTGGCTATGCTGGTTAGGGATGATGTAGGGGTGGAGGCCAAAACATCTGGGGGATCACAAGTTTCCCATCCCTGCTCTAATTGAACCTATATGTGAAAATGTGGACTGTTGTACATCAGATCAAGTCATATACTAATTTGTCACCCTTTAACATTTCTCTTTGCCCAGGATGACCACATCAGTGGATGTGTTGGTCTCCATCTGTGTCATCTTTGCCATGTCCTTTGTTCCAGCCAGCTTTGTAGTTTTCTTGATCCAGGAGCGAGTCAGCAAAGCCAAGCACTTACAGTTCATCAGTGGCGTGAAACCTGTTATCTACTGGTTGGCTAACTTTGTGTGGGATATGGTAAGGCTATATCATTTCTTCTCTTTGACCCCAAAATGCTGCACATATTCTAGCAGGGAGTGAGTGTGCTGGCTAGGGCTGTTGGGAGTTGAAGTTCAACACCAGTTGGAAGGCCTCATATTCCCCATCACTGACTGAACACACCCTTTGTGCAAAGAAGAAAAGAATTAAAGTTACCTTATTACTAATTTCTTGAAACATGCTGTTTCACAGCATAACTTGTTCCTAGAAAGAAGCACAGATATGTATGATCACTGTACTTCAGTTGCCTCCACAGCTTGAATACAGTTTCATCCATCAGCCATGCATATGGAATACATTTCAGTGCTGATGTAAGAACTACTGAGATAATGCATGAGGTGCTTAACATTCAAACACTTGAAATACACTGTATTGATTTCTAAAAAATAATTTATTTTCAGTGTAATAGTTGAGTTGATCTAATAAAAACGGGAGTAACTTAAGTGCCAAAAGAGCATTTGGGGGTTTATAAAGTAAACACATTAGCTTATCATTCCTTTTTCTGGTGATCCACCTGGCTCTGTTGAGTGTAAGGATGACAACAGATTCTGTCCCCCTTGCCATCCTTGTCCCATTGCAGTTATACATGGAAGAGTTCTAGTTTCTGCGTTTCATGATTTCAAGTTGCTTGCTTTGATAAAATGTAGAAATCCTGCCTTATCTTATTTAATAAGGTGATAATTTGCACTGCTTTAACCTGGAGCTATTCTGATTTTCTTCTTTTTGTATCATACAGTGCAACTACGTTGTTCCAGCTACCTTGGTTATTCTCATCTTCGTCTGCTTCCAGCAGAAATCTTACGTGTCTTCATCCAACCTGCCAGTGTTGGCTCTTCTCCTCTTGCTCTATGGGTAAGAAAGGCCTGCTTTTTACTGGAACAGTCAGGATGTAGGAATACAGCCTTTTCATGCCACTCCCTTTCTCTTTGCCAGGTGGTCCATAACACCTCTCATGTACCCAGCATCCTTTGTGTTCAAGATCCCCAGTACAGCATATGTGGTGCTAACCAGCATGAACCTCTTCATTGGTATCAATGGGAGCGTGGCCACTTTTGTCCTTGAACTTTTCACGAACAATGTGAGTTCTCATTGTCCACAGTCAGCATTACCATGTGGCTTTGAGTTTTGTCCAGCCTTATCTGCTCTTCCTTTGTTTCTATTTTATGTAACCTGGATCTGGAAGTAGGTTTTTGGATTGCAGCACCTGAACACCAGATTTTGGTGAATGAAGGAGCCAGGCCTCATGCATAATTTTGCTGGTTTTCCTGGTATATTCCAGCTGCATATTCTTGCCTATATTTGCATTTCTTAAAAGAAAGAATCTGAATTGACAGTGAGCAAAGGGATGTACATTCTGTAACAACAGACTGAAAGAGGAGGACAGAAATAAGTTGTCTAATAGATGCTGCCACGGCCTTGGACTCTAATGAGACTAACATGAATGGAAAGCCTTACATTTAAAGACAGGACTGAGGTCCTTAAGTGGCTTCCTTAAGCAGAACAGGACATAGGTGAAGTTTGTCAGTCCCACCACACTGTTCTTAGTAGTCTCCCAATGCTCAGGAGCAGGTTTGGGGCATTCAAGGGGCTGCAGTGTGAAATGAGAATTGGTGAAATTTGGTTCCTCATCTTTTGCTGGTGGGAGAACCCAGTGAGTAGAACACAACTCAGGGAAGGCCCACGCCAGTAGGAACAAACTGAGGATCCCAGCTGTATGAGCCTTTAATACACATCCCTCAACAAGCAATATGTTTTTTCTCCAGTCTTCCTGAACGTAAGGCCCAGTGGTCTCCTGAGCAAAGCTAAAATCAAAGCAAAGATGCTAGATGGGCTACCATATTCTTTTAAGTGCTCTCATTTTCTTTTTAAAGGTGAAGGACTGCTGTGGGGAATAGGAGAGGGACTCTTCTTAGAGATACTGTGTAGAGGCAACCAAGTAGTGCCCTGTACAAATGAATTCTGTTTCAGATTTGAAGAACTGGTGTGGTTTGTTGTTTTCAAAGTCTGACCATGGAATGGAAAGGTATATTTGGAGTTAATATAGGGAAGACACCTCCAGATCAGCTACAGTGCTCTAATATGTTTTTAACCTAAAGACAACTCTCTTCCTTTAAAGTCAAATGAGCAATTGCTTTAACTTTTAAATATTTTTAAATGTTCATGTAATTTCATGTATAAGTAACTCTTTCTGAATATATTTACTGAGCTGCAGTTCCCCTGCCTTTTTTACATCTGTCCCTCTTTATAAATGTCCAAGCTACTGACTGCCAGTGCTTTTATGTCTTTAGAAACTGACCAGCATCAATGACATCCTGAAGTCGGTGTTCCTTATCTTCCCCCATTTCTGCCTGGGACGTGGCCTGATTGACATGGTGAAAAATCAGGCTATGGCAGATGCCCTGGAGAGGTTTGGTAAGTGAGATGTTGTTCAGATATAGTGGCAACAACCTGGAATGTGAGGACTGGAGCTATGAACAGGGCATATTGTTGGTTTCAAACAATACAACGCACACTGAAGGGATTGAGTGAGGGTTGTTATCGAACCAGGGGTTGTTGCTGAAACTTGGCTTATTTTGCTTGTCTGAACCCAACCATGATAACCTGGAACAAGCTATAGTTCACAACCTAACCTTTCCTAACCTTTGTGGTTAGCAAACCATGGTTTGTTAGCATGGTTGGGTTGAGGCAACATGCGAACTTATAACTTACAGTATAACTTACTTACAATGAATAACTTGGAATAACTTTCAACAATAGTGCATAGTTTGATTCAAGCTGCAGTCAGCCCTTGAATATGGGCAACTATGTTCTTTAAACCCAGCAAATGCACAATTTCAAGCCAGGGTGGCTTGTTAACCACCTTGTGAGTGTCACTCACATCAGAGGGATTAACATAATTACATCCCACAGTGTGCCCTGTCCTGTCATCTGAACACTATGATAGCCCACAGGTTCTGGGTGGCTTGTCAACAAACCACTCTTGGTGGGTTCCCACAGCACAATGGGCAGATTTGGGTGATAGTTTAATCCACACTGTGTCATAAACCACCCAAGGAGTTGCAGTTAAGCACATCATGAGCCTCTGTCCACCTCCTCCCGTGTGTATTTCAAGGGACACCATAGGAAGAAGGAGACTGTTCTCCCCTCCCAGTCACCACTGCCGGTGGCAGGGAGGAGGAGGAGAAGCCATCCTCCCCACTGGCTTGCTGCTGCAGTTAGAAGGAGTGAATGCTTGAACTGGTGGCAGAATGTCCTCTCTGTGCCACTGCCTGAGCATGGGTGGCAGTGCAGCACAGACCTCTGATGTCTCTGCTGCCAACTTGAGAGGAAAACAGCATAGATTTACTACACAATAGCAGTAGCTTATGGCATGCAGTGGAGAATCTTTCAGGTGGTCTCTGACAGCTGAGTGAGTCCTTTGCTTTCTCAACTAGGTGAGAACCACTTTGTCTCTCCTCTTTCCTGGCATCTGGTGGGGCGGAACCTTTTTGCCATGGCCATCGAAGGTGCTATCTTTTTCCTCATCACAGTGCTTATCCAGTACAGGTTCTTTCTGAAACCCAGGTAAGAAGGTCTTCGTGACAACCAGATCCCCAACACTAGATTTCGGGGGGCGGGGTAGGGGCTGAGGCATGAGGATTTAAGTAATGGGGCAGGAAGGAGTCTGGACAAGTCTCCCAGCCCACTCCAAAACTGAAGTCGCAAAAAAGTATTGTGTTCTTGCATGTATCATGTTGCTTTTTCTCCTGTCTTTCAAAGGCCTGCAAATGAGAAGCTTCCACCTGTGACTGAAGAGGATGAGGATGTGAACAGAGAAAGACAGAGAATCGTGGGTGGTGGTGGGCAGAGTGATATCTTAGAAATTAAAGAACTAACCAAGGTGAGAGGGGAAGTAAGATCTTGGGGGAGGCTAACTTTTCACACTTCATAGTTTATATACCTTATCACAGACTGGATTCCAAAGCCTGCTGTCACTTTGGAATCAATGCCCCTCAGGCTACTGTTGTGCAACCATCATCAGATGAAATACCTGGACTTACAAAGCAAGGGAGGACAAGGACCATTCAATGACTGCCCGTATTTAGTGGTTTGTTGCTGCATTTTCAAACAACAAATAAGAAGGGATTTCAAATAAGAAATCCCTGTATTTTAGGCATTCATTCTTCATCCTTCAGAAGATCGACTCCACTCAAACATTTCATCAACACATGAGCAGGGCTTCCTGGACTAACGCTGTTCCAAGAGTTCATGCATCTTCACCCCCTGTGCATGGTTGCCAGAAGACTGGACAAGCTAGGATGCATGAGATCTGGGACAGGTTAGCTGGTGCAGCTGTGATCACCTTGAGAGAGAAAATGAATTATTCTTCTGCAGAGGACGTCTCACTGATAGACACACAGATAAACAGAGCAAAAAGCTGGAGGCTTTTGGAAAAACTGAGTTGTGGCCCAAAATCCTGTTACAAAATCTAGAAAGAGGGGGGAAAAGATGGAATTTATGAAGTTTATTGGTTATCACCTTTCAGAAAATTTCTGTTCCTTTTTCCAGATGTACAGAATGAAACAAAAGCCTGCTGTGGATAGGATCTGTGTTGGAATTCCACCTGGGGAGGTAAAGCTTTCAGCTTTTTCTATGTACATATTTGGTGAAATATTACTTAAGAACTTAAGGAATGGAATTCAATAACTGGTTGCTTTACTGTAATGAAAGAAAAGCTTCACCATGTGGCTCTCATACTGAGCGAATTAACTCCATAGCACAGATATGGATCCTTTTCTTAAATACTATTCAGATATTGTTATTTTCCCCTTTTCTTTCTGATTGTCTCTTTGCTTCTTTTCTAATGGAATGGTGTGGTAGTTTTTGCACAATAAATTGGTAGTTTTGTGGTAGTTTTGCATTAATTATTGCACAATAAATTGATTGCACAGATAAATGATTCATACCATCATTCCATGGGTGCCAATATAAATGATATAATATGCTTATTCAATGCTCATTCAATGTTTTGTGCTTTGGTCTCCTGGGTATGAATGATGTTGGTATTTATAACTCAGACAGCATTATCTTACTTATAAAGTTGGAAAAGTCAACATTCAATCTTAGTTTTGAATTTAGAGCACTCTGAAGTTGGAGTGCCTAAGATATCCAACACCCTACCTGGCTCCTACTAGCAGGAAAAAAGTGAGGAGGGAGTAACATTCCTTTTCCTTTCTCTCTCTTGGGTTTTAAAAAGTTATATCCCTCTCAGGGCTAGTGTGAAGTTTTCCTGGGTTGGGGGCGTAGATGGGGGAAGTGAAGATCCTCCCTCTCTGCATGTCATGCACCAGTCCCTTGCAATTTTCCTCCCCCCAGAGTTGGAGTCTCAACATTGGAGGGTGAGACCTTTAGGTCTTTCCACATGGGCAGGCATGGGAGATCCTAGGTCAGGAATCATCCCAGGGATCATACGATTACACTTCAGTAATTCAGAAAAAACAGTATTTTTCCAAATCACTTTGTAATGCATTTGTTACAATAGCAACCCTGTAAAATAGATCACTATTGTCCCTCTGTTGTATACAGCAGGAGCAAAGGTTGAAATGGGGCTGCTTGTGTAGTGATGCCTATTAAACCCATGGCAGAGATGAGATTTGATCTAAAGAAGTCCTGATCTGTAGCTCTATCTTTTGACTACTAAGCCACAGAAGGGCAAAGGAATCAGAGTCATGCATGCATTCATCCTGAACTTAAAGAGAGACTAATAGTACTTCCAGATGAGACTTTTATGATCTCATTCACAGAATTTGTGGGGGGAGGGGTTTCCAAAGGACACTGGCTTCTATGCATAACCTCCCTTAGTGCCCACCCCCAACACACTCACACCTTTTCTCCCATCCTTTTTCTCTTAACATGGAAAATCCATTAAGGGCACAATCATATGCAACTTTAGAAAGAAAAAGGCCTTATTTCTTTTCAAACTTGCATAAGATTTCACCTTAAGGAACAAAAGATGGGACAGCTGCTCTAGGAGACTCCATCTGGCAGTACCCTAAATGCTGAGATTGTCATTGCTGGGATTGTGTGAAGGATTAATGAGGGGGGTGTGAGGCAGCCGAATGCTAATCTGGTCTTTTAATGTTTGCAGTGCTTTGGTCTCTTGGGGGTGAATGGGGCTGGCAAATCCTCCACTTTCAAGATGTTGACGGGAGACACTGACGTCACTGGAGGCGATGCTTTTCTTAAGGGAAACAGGTATGAAGAAAATCACAGCTTTGTCTATGGAAATTTATGTTGTCCTTTCTGTCTGCCAAATAGGGTCAGTGGGACTTAATAGTTACAGGACATTAAAATTCAACATTTATGAAAGTCCTGAATGGGGGCACAGGTTCTGCTACAGAAACTGTTGAATGATTCTCAGTTAAAGACATAATATGTCCTTTTGCAATTGCAACCTAGATGTTACCTAGGTTGTAAGCCATCCTGAGACAACTGCTTGTATAGGACGGGATAAAAATATCCTAAATGAATAAATGAATACCTGCTTTTTGTTTTTGTGTTTTTGCATTAGTGGTTTATGTCTAATGATTCAAAAAACAGTTGGTACACCACCATCCGCTCTGTACTTCAACACTGCCAAACTCTGATAAGCAATATCTTACCTCTTTGCAGTATTTTGTCTAACATCCAAGCAGTCCATCAGAATATGGGATACTGTCCTCAGTTTGATGCCATTAGCGAGCTGCTGACAGGCAGAGAGCACCTGGAATTCTTTGCACTCTTAAGAGGGGTTCCTGAGAAAGAAGTCCATAAGGTAAAATCAAGGAGGCGGGATGAGGACAACCTGAGTGGGTTACATATTTAGTCTTAATGTTACGATTATTTTGACTCCGTTTTGATTTTAAATGTTTCTTATTTTCTTAGCTACCTTGAGCACCATTTGCTTAGTGGAAAGGTGGGCTGTAAATCAAATAAATAACCACAATTAGTAAAGTACAGACTCCACATGGTTGTTGGTGAAGGGGAAGCATATATTTATGTTAATTTACCTGGAGTGCAGTCCTGCGATCTCCTGACATTGTCTGGCTCCATAGGATTCTTCAGAGTCTCTGCACCAAGGTGTTTGGACTCTGGTGGCTGAGCTTCCATCCTGCCCCCTTCGCAGGTGGCATGGTTCTTTCTGTACTGTCTGCTTCTCTGAGCAGAAATGCTTCTCCCAGAGGGGGCAAATGGGCATGCCAAGGGGTGTGGAAAAGAGGATGCTACATGGATTCTTCTAACATGCCCCCACACTTCCTGTAAGACAAGGTAGTGGGGAAGCTGCTTCAGCAAGGCAAAGAATTTTGTTCTCACAGCAAAAAGAATCCTTCTCTACAGAATGATTGCGCAAAGCAGCCTAAAAGCAATGATCTCTGCTGATGCTCTTCCTGACAAGCTGAAGGCTACAAGACTTTGACATGCCTTCAAGAAATGAACTTGAATTTTGGACACTGAGAACCTCAGTGACCTCCTCATTATTCTTCTAGTGGAGCCCATACAATACACAAGGAAATACGCAGGCACAAACAGGAGCATTTTATGCTGCAGGGAATAGAGACTGTGCCTTCATGTTGTCTTCCTTCTGGCAGGTTGGTGAATGGGCTATTCGTAAACTAGGCCTCATGAAGTATGCAGAAAAATATGCTGGCACCTACAGTGGTGGGAACAAGCGTAAGCTTTCTACTGCAATGGCCTTAATTGGGGGGCCTCCTGTGATATTCCTGGTGAGTATGGCTACGTTTACGGTAGTAATACTTTGTTGTGCAAAGAATAGCAGGAGGCCTCACTTCTGTTTCTTCCAGAACTGAAGGGGTGGGATGTTCCTCGATGGTCTGGAGAACAGCCACCTCAAGCACATCTCATCTTAATTCATGAGCAGAAGGACCCAATTTACAGGTCCCTTTGAAATCTTTCCAAACCAAAGTTCTCACTGGCAATAGCTGTATTTGCAGCACTGAGAACCAAAGGTGTTGCTTGGAATTAGGGGCGAGCCATATGGCAGCCCCTCCCAACCCCAGAAAGGATGTGCGTATTTTTATGAGGAAAAATGGAGTTTGCAGGGCTACAGAGTGTCCAAAGGACCAAATTCAGCCGAGCTTGACCCTTTTAGTGCTATGGATGCAATTTTTCCCAATATTCTCTTTCTGTGTCCTCCAGAGGGGAGCCTGCGGGTGGGGGGGGGGGGTGCATTCATGGGTGGGGAAGGACATGCACTCCAAATCAGCTGCAGTTGCCTATTCTTGCTTCAAATCTATTGCAAATTAGAGTCCATGGGCTGTCAGGGCCAAACAGAAGAGAACAAAGCTATGGCCACAGCATGCCTACAACTTCTGCTTTTACTTTCCAGTCAACAGGAGGCTTCTTCATGGGTTGCTTAGCATGTTCTCTGAACCTGGAATGTTGGTTTATTTAGCGTTTGGCTTTGTTTTTAATGTATTGCTTTATTATTTTTGCTGTGTACTATTCACTGCTCCAGAATTTGTTTAGATATGAGTACATAAATAAATACACAACCCAGAAGTTAACCCACCAACGAGCTGTGGTTAACTGCTAGGTTGTTCAGGCTCAGTGCTCTGGGATTGGAAAATCATGAAGGAGCCAGTCAATTAGCTGTTTAAAAACAGAAGGGAAAGCAGACGGGCCGGCAAATGGGAACATGGGAGGCAGTGTACTCACTTGCTCCTACTAATGCATAACATGGCCTGCCATTGCCAGCTGTGGCCTACATGCCAAAGTTGGTACTAGGTGTCATGAAATCGTGCTCGGTCATTAGTGATGAAATCAATAATCTATTCTTTATAAACTGCAGGATGAGCCAACTACAGGAATGGATCCCAAGGCCCGCCGTTTCCTTTGGAATTGTGCCTTGAGCATCATAAAGGAGGGAAGATCTGTGGTTCTTACATCACACAGGTATGCAGTGTGGTTTTTCAAGAGATACTGTGCATTACATGGGCTATATGTCAGTTTGCATGGTGGGTACATGTAATAACAAAAATAGTCATGTTGCTGCAGTAGGAAAAGTTCATACAAGGCTAGTAGGACTAAAATGCTCCATGGCATCTTCCTGTCTTAAAGGTTTTAAACTAACTTGCATACTCAGGTCATTCTTTTGTGTAAAGAGGAAGTAAAGCAGCAGTGATCTCAGAAAATGGTTGGATATTTGGATAATTGCTTGGTTTGTTCCTACTTGCAGCATGGAAGAATGCGAGGCGCTATGCACTCGAATGGCAATAATGGTCAATGGGCGATTCAGGTGCCTTGGAAGTGTCCAGCACCTAAAGAACAGGTAAAACTGTTACGCTTTGTTCTTGGGATAGATTTCTGCTTTTTACGTCTTGATAGCTGATGGGAGTACTTCATTAAAATATTTATTAATTGCATGCATGGAGACCTTGATTCCTTCCTTCCTTCCTTCCTTCCTTCCTTCCTTCCTTCCTTCCTTCCTTCCTTCCTTCCATTCATTCATTCAAATTTCATGTATTTAATTGCTGTGCTGCCTATTAATCAAAGCACTCTGGGCAGTTCACAACAACTTCTCAAAGTACTATGAAAAATACAATAAAAAAGATACAACACAGTATAAAATCCTAGTATACAAATTTAAAGCAATCTGAAATTCCAGTATACACAATTTAAAGCAGCTTAAACATCTAAAGCAGGGGTCCTCAAACTTTTTCACCAAGGGGGCAGTTGAAAGGTGCTGGTGCTGGGTGCGGGCCGGAAAGGTAGTGCTGGAGGGGCTCGGGGGCATGGCGAGGCTTGGGCAGGTGGGCACGCGCAGCACACACAGCACAGTGAAAACCTCTGAGGCGGGCCAGATAAATGACCATGGCAGGCTGGATCCGGCCCCCGGGCCGTAGTTTGAGGACCCATGAGCTAAAGCAATTTCAGTAAAACTAGACCTAATTAAAACAGTTGATGTAACCCATCATATGTCATTAGTATGAGAATAGAGGGCAGTTTTAACCTGACACCAAAAACAGTGAAGTGTTGGCACCAGGCAGCCCTCAGTGGGGAGCTTATTTCATAATTGGGGGGCCACCACTGAGAAGACCCCCCTCCGTGATGTTTCTTTTTGGGCCTCCATTGGAGTTGGCAGTCAGAGGAAGACTGCAGAGGTTGGGAGAGGTGTTCCTTCAGGTATTGTGGTCCCAAGCCAGGTAGGCTTTATAGCCCCTTCATGTGGCTTTACAAAATATAAATTGTCCTGTTAGGTTGCCCTAATCTGACCTATCATTTACCAGCAATGGAACCTTTTAGGCTTTTCTCATCAGTCATGAGGACAAGAAACAGCATTTTAAAAGCAAACTAAAGATGAGACTAATCACCATGCCAGAAGCACTAATTAGTACCCAATGGCCCATGAGAAAGCCACAGTATAAATAAAGCCCTGGCCAGTTCATACTTTTTCACTCATTTTTAAGTAGTAGGAGAAGCAATACTGCATATTATGAAGTCTACTTTGTTGCAAGTTACACACTTCCTCTTCCTTTATGTCAGGTTTGGAGATGGCTATACAATAGTTGTGAGAATAGGAGGGGCAGCACCTGACCTGAAACCTGTTCAAGACTTCTTCGAGATGGCCTTTCCAGGCAGTATGCTGAAGGAGAAGCATCGAAACATGCTGCAGTACCAACTCCCGTCCTCTATGTCTTCTCTGGCTCGGATATTTAGCATCCTCTCCCAGAACAAAAAGAGACTTCACATAGAAGACTACTCTGTTTCCCAGACCACTCTTGACCAAGTAAGTCTACAGGGGCACAGCTTGTCATAGAGTCTCATACAGTTCCCATAACCCTGACAATTGGCCTGATAGGGGTTGTACTCTAGAACATTGGTGGATCCAGCACAGGGAAGGTTGTATTAGGACAACTCAGATAACTGTGATCATCACCTGCTGCTTGGCTACATTCTAACATTGGAGGAATGCCTTGAGTGTCTGGCTCCAGCTATAACTCTTTCTGAATGATATTCAGAAGATGGATGATCAGAAACAGAAAGGCAACTCAGAGACAGAGCCTTCTCTGAGATGCCTTTGCAGCTCCAGCACACCACGCATATTGACATCTATTGTTCATGCTCCTCGAGTGCCCTCTGTGCAAGAATGAAGGCACTCCACCTCCACAAGCTTTTAAATGTGTAGGTTGTTAACTGCTTGTTTTGCCACTAACTATATTCAATGCTTGAGATCATTGTTTTTCTGATTTTTCATATTATGTATGTCAATGCTAGTTGTGCTGGTTTTTGTTTTACGTTGTTGCATGTAGAAGAGTGTCATAATTAGTTTATCATCTCCCACCTTTTCTTTTTTTCTCTCTCTCAGGTATTTGTAAACTTTGCCAAGGACCAAAGTGATGATGATCACACAAAGGACTTGTCATTGCACAAAAACCAGACTGTTGTAGACGTTTCAGTTCTGACTTCCTTTTTGCAAAATGGGAAGGAGAAGGAAAGCTACGTATGAGCATCCCTTTTGAGAAGGGTCCAGCAGCATTTCCGAACAGAAGGGGAGACATTAATCCTTTCTTTAGCATGAGGAGATCTTCCCAAAAGCAGAGAGACAGAGGATACAGAGAGGAAGACAATAAACCAGGCATTCTACTGGTAACCATTCAATGCAATGCAACTCAATGCAAAGAAAACCATATTCCTTTAGAGAGGCAGTGCCTCTTGGAGATGTTGCCTTGTACTGTTCTCTAGTGAAAGACTTGAATTTAGTTGTTCTTACTTTATAACTCTGTGAAATTCTAGTATGGTGCCACTTGCTGCTGTGTGGTGTTTTGCCATACTCCCACCTTGTTCTACTTTGTATGTTTTTGGTTAGGGCTGCACAACAGCAATTCAGAGGATTCTTGGCCAGTGATTATTTATTTGCCATGTTAAGGCGTGCATGGCCTTCCCACATGGTGAGTGGAACTGCTTGGGTGCTACATCCATTGCTGGCGATGAATGCAGTAGAGTGACCAGGGCAAGCAGTACCGAGCCCAAGGCATCGCGGTGGCCTTACTTAAGTATTAGTTGTTGGCTTGGTTTATCTGCACAAGTTCAAGGTGACTTATAGAAAGGCCATTGGTGGTCTAATCTGTGGGCCATGAAGCACACCATCTCAGCACATGCATACACTTAATTCAGTGTTCCTTGATAGGGTGCAGCAGAACTATCAACCGTGCAAACTTCTGAGAGGATTTCTATCCCACTGGTATGGTGACCAATCACTTATTCTTCCACTGTGCTTTTGTGGGCTGTTGCTTTTTTCAGCGTTTATTAAGACACTTGTTTGATATGTTTATTTTCTTTGCAACAGTATTATTTATAGAAGTGACTCAGCAATGTCTGTGGCACCCTGGACCATCTCTGCGTCCCTACTTATAAATCATTTGTAATATTATGTCTGTATTTGCCACTTTATTACGTTCAAAGTCTAGATGCAAACATTACAAGATGTTTATAGCATAGTAATCACCACCACCCCATTTTCAGTTCACATGTGTGTCTTCCTACATAAAATGCCAGATCATAGGATGGCCCACTTCTCAATCTGCACATCCGTCATCACCCTTTAAGCCTCTAGTTAAAGCAGAAAGAAAAAGCAGTGGTGACTCCTCCCATTCATGTTAGTGTCCTGTCATCTAGCCTTCCCATCAGGTGCTGCGTAGCATCTTCTGTTGATCTCCCACTTCTGCTGGACATTGAAGAAAAACAGCCCCAGAGCAGGGGGAAATTTGGCAGTCCTAGACAACAGAAATAATAGACAGCATTAATTAAGAAAAAAGTCTCTGTTTTAAAAGACTGGCAAAAGAGCTGTTCATTTAGGAAGTCATGTCAAGCTTTTACAAATCATTTCCACCAAAAGCTACTGGGCAGGCAGAGGCAGGAAGGTGGCTGGGAGTGCCTCTTTTAAATGCTGATTACCTATAAGCAAAGCAATCAGAAACCTCTTAATGGGAAAAATCCAATCCTGCACAAAGGAATGTCCACTCACAAAGGCGTTCTCTTCCTTCTTGCTGCCTCATTCTCTGCTCTCTGGGATCTCCCAACCCTCCAGAACAACTTTCAGGGTGCATAGGGAGCTGCAGGAAGGATATAGGAATCACTCCCTATGCATTCCACTGATGGGAGCCTTTCCATCAGAGGGGTGAGTTAATTGGATTCCACTCCATGACTGCAACTTTGGGGACAACATCCATGCCCCCAAATCAGGGTATGAAAAAGACAGTGGCAACTTAGTCCTTCTGAAGTGGGACATGAATGTTGATTCTACATGCACTTTTTTCCTTTTCTGTTCCCATTCCCACCCATAAAATGCCTGTAGGTTTTTATCACCAGAGCTAAGCTGGTTTTCCCCCTTCTCCATAACTGACAATTCTGGGCAGTTAGCATTCAATCATTCTTTGGCAATGGTGTTGCACAGAGCACATAACTGAGTTTACAAAATTGTCAACATGTCCCATTAAAAGATTTTTTTTTAAAAAAATCAAGATATTCTTCCTTCCTTAAACAATCAGGAGTGCTCTTTTACTGCATTGTTTACAGTGCTCTTGCAATTCTGCCCAAGAGAGATATAATCCATATCAAGTTAGACTGCAATCTTCTTATGCATTGACTGAAGAAAAACCCTTTTTGAGTGTAAAGAGCTCTGCACGTTTTCCTTGGAATTACTTCTGGGCAAATAAGAGGATTGCACTGCAAGACCCATTATTTTCAATGGGGAGTTTTACGCACGTGCTTCCTATGAGAAACAACATTCATAGGAGTGTGTCTTGGTAGGACTGGGGATCCACACTGAACACTAGTGCAACCTACAGTAGTTGCCTCAAAATCTGTAAATCATTTATACAGGTTTTCCTTTGTATTAGGGGCGGGGGAAGCGGGGAGCCAAATTTATCTTCAGTCCTACATGTATAATGGTATAAAACCACTGGTCATGGAATTGTCTTGAAAACATTTACCACCTCAGTGTGTATGTGGTGAAGTTGCTGCATCCCTCTGCAGTTATTTGTACTGCTGGAGGGGTTCTTTCCTAGGAATACTTTTCTTGCAGGAGTAATACTTTTGGCAAGCCTGCATCACTGTGCTTTTCCTTTGACCTGTGTTTTGAACTGCCCTCCTTTTGATATGGTTGGCCCCTTCATTCCAAGCACTTTATGCTAGCTGTAATGGGATCTATTTTTGCACTGGAATACCCTGTTAACTCTGCAAAATTCAAGAGCAGTTTCACATCCACCCACAAACACAAATTAAGTTAAAATGTTTCAATGGAGATTTTCATGAAAAACAAATATATATTTGTATTGATAATAACTATTTGTGAAATACTAATAGGCATTGTAAATTGCCTCATATCAAGTTAAACAATAAAAGTATTTCTGGTCTATACACGATTATGTGTTTACTATATAAAGCTTTGATATAAATCTGTAGCCAAGTTATGGAATATTTCCATGTTTATTGATGAATGGCAGGCTATTTTTCATCTGCCCAAGCAAAATCCTTTAGAAATATTCTGTTGTTCACTTTTGTGAGATATTTTTAGTTATGTGCCATCAACTAATCTCTGATTTATGGTAACCCTATTTCCAACATGCCCTATCCATAACAGCATTGTTCAGCTCTTAAGTGGGATAATACAGGATTGAAATATGCAATGCAATCATATGCATGTTTCACTTAGAAATAAATCACTCTGATTAATGAGATTTGCTCCATAAAAAGTATATTTAGGATTGCAGCTTTAAAATTAAAACCATCCTAGATCACCAATGGCAAACTAAAATGATTTTGTTTGTCCCCTGAAAATAAAAATTACACTCACTTACCTGAGAGCAAGTCCCATTGAATTCTTCAGGGGGGTTACTTCAGAAGCTTCCACTGTGAGGGGAAGGGGCCAAAATTAGGAGGATTTCTACCATACAAATATTACATAATTCCAGATGTCACCATCACCTGTCATTAAATGTTTGCCTCCCGCTTTCTCTCTCCACTTTTTTGTTTTTTTGGCTCGTTCCCTTATGCCTCCCCAACTCCATATTAGCAATACCTCTTTTCCCCTGCTCTTACATCCCTGGGAAAAAGAGAGACTATATGTAACAAAACACAAGAAATACATCAGTTTGTAGCATGAGTGGCTTCCCATTCACTGTGCCATATACACAAATAGGTGTAGGCTAACATACTATGCACATACACGGGGATCTGCTTTTTTCCATTTTCATCCCACCTACATGTTGTGTAGCAGTTCCTGCCATATTATTGGCCTTGGAAAGAAAAAAAAATGGCTTCCAATTCCTGTCACTTCGTGTTAATGTCTGCCCTGGTTAGCAATAACCAAAATGAATTCTGTGTAAAAAATATAAAAATGCTTCATTCTGTTCACCTGTATAAAAAGCAATGTATTGTCTACCGAAGTTCACAGGTCTATCTTGAGAAAAAGAGCAGAAGCGAGGCCGGGAAAGTGGTGAGGAAGTCTTCAGTTTTCAAAGGTGTCTGCCACATCCAGGGGCAGCTCTTGTCTCTCAGCAAGGATGGCTCTGGGAGGGGAGAAAGAACCTATTTTTGGCCAGACATTCCTCTTTTCACAGGAATAGCTTAGTTCTGCTTGAGAGAGTAAACCTCCATCTGTATGGGCCTTTATGATGGACTGCTCCCCCATGAAACAAATTGCTTCACGCAGAAAATTGGCGCTTCACAAAGATGGCAAGGCCGCAACCCTTCTCCCTGACATGAGCAGAGAAATATTACGGAGAAGGCAATAAAGGAACCAGCATGAGGGAATCACCTTTTCCAGTGTGCCGTTTTTTGTTTTTAAATCTCTGGTTTCAGACACTTTCCCCCTCCTCCTTCCACAGCTTTTCCCAGCCAATGTGAAGGACATGAACTGTGCCAGCCTCCAGAGTGGGGACAGTTGTCCCTCCAGTCTGAGGGCAAGTCGGGGCATGGGGTGTGGGATTTTGTGGGTCCACAGCTTCTCCAGGTCCTCTCACCGAATGCCTCCTCTGTACGTTCCCTGGAATTGGTCCTCAGGCCCAGTGCACTCCTTGGAAGAGGCTTGCAAAGCCAGGCCCCCTTGTCTGAGTGGGCCTTTCTCCTTGCCCTCAGAAAAGAGATCAAAAAAATCCTATTCTGGGATGCTGTTGCAGGGAACATAGGGCTGCAGCCTGCCCTAGTTTTCTAGAGGGAGGATTTTTTATTATTTTTATTTTGTATTCAGCCATGGGAACTTTTGTTTGCAGTCTGTGGTAGTACAGCACACACAGAGATTATTCCCTCAGTAGGAATTCCACAGGTAGAGAGACATGACTGGACTGAAAGCATGTAAGGCTCAACCTTTATGTCAAAAGGCCATCCGAGTGAAATTCCGGCCTCTCAGAGGGACCGCGCCTGTACTGCTTATTCACATGATGGTGGCATCATTATCAGGGACATGTCTGCATATTAGGTTGCCTTCAAAGCACAACAGGCCGAGAAGTCAGCAACATACCAAAAACTGACTGTCATGAATGGAGAGGAATCAGCATGAAGCACTGGAAGACCATTGTGATGTTCCTAAACATACATGCCATATTCATCATGAAGTATAGTCCATTAGTATAATACTTTGGGAGTTGCATCAGAACATGTAAGCCACTAGATAAAATAATAATTCACAATTAACAGGACTTGAGATAATTTTTTTCTATTCCTTTATCCCAGCACCTGAAAATCACAATGGGCGGTTCTGTATTACCCCAAATAGCTGCATTAACAATTAATTGATTAGAGAACATCCCTGTGCTTGTCTACACAAAACTCAACGGGATTCTTCCTGAGTAAGTGTATATAAGCTCACAGCCTTAATTAATCTATTAAGTTCAGCTCAGTTGTGAGGCCTCTTGTTTGAGAACATTGTGGAAATAACTTTCATTACCAAATTCAGTTGAACCTGTGTCAATCTCCTTCATGCTTTGTTAGAATTACATCCAGTTACAATTAAGTAGCATTAAGTCAGGTAAGTGCCTACCATGTCACAGCATCCTGATTGTGGAATGGCTTCCTCAGATAATGTGTTCTTGTTCTTCAAGGCCTTTTACTCCTTCAGTTTTTGTTGTTCTATTTGTTGTATTTTTTAATCTTTATGCTTCTGCTGCCTTTAACTTCCATTTTGTATTGTCAAAAGTGTTATGTTGTATCATGTTGTGCTTTGACCAGTTCACAAAAGTTAAAGCCAAAGGGTGTTACAGCTAATCTAGTTCTATTTGGTATATAAGTGTCACCATTATATACATAAATAAATATAATTTATTTTGCTACACTTTTCAGAATTAATGTTTCAAATAACTTGTCATATATTACATTTTCTTATACTTGTGTTCTTATTACACAAGGAAGTGTAATACCATACACTCTCCAGCATTTCAAATGGGAGTTTTATTGATCTGATTTATATGGCACCTTTTTTTTCTTCCAAAGAACTCGAAGTGGCTGATTCCATTCTCCTCCTGCTGCTCTCAGTCTTATCCCCACAACACCAACCCTGTGAGGTAAGTGGGGCTGAGAAACCCTCAAGTGCAGCATCCATCTGGCACAAATTAGAGGTGGTGATGGCAAAAATCTATTAAAAACACTGTTTTGTGCAAAGAAAATGGAATCTGGAACCACAACAGCAGAGATAAAGTGTCCAATTAGCTTCTTTCCAAGTGATCTTTTTGGTGCTCTGTTGCTGCTTGTGGTGTCATAGTTTTTTTTCCCCCTCTAGCCAAAAAACAAACAAAAAACAGGGTAGCTCGTCTAAGCCTCCTCTTCATCTTATTTTTGTTTTTAAAGTTTCCCTTTGTTTTTGGCAGCCATGCTTGGGGGAAAGTAGCCTGCAGAAAGTCTGGGATTAAAATAGCCCATGGACCTCTCAAAGCTGTCCACCTCTAATTTTTTTTTTTATCTTCCTCTTCAGGCAAAAAGGCCTGGGGAACTGCATATATACAGTCATCAAAACAAGATGGCAGGGTTTTATAATATAAAAAAGGCAAGGCACATAAAAGGATGGGAAGGGAAAAATTAAGCTGTGTTCATACAAGGTTGGTGGAATAGACTGTCTCTCCATGTCTCACTCAGTGCAGCCCCCTGGAATGGCTGGAAATGATGCCAGTGGAGAGAATAAAACTACTGTCTGGGGTTGCAGTCTTAAAGCGTAAGGATTTATTTTTTCTTTTACTTGTGCTTGTTTACTGTTGCATGACTGTAAAGCACTAGTGTTACACTATTGTAAACTTTCCTCCTCCATTTTTTTCTTCCCCTTTCCATTTATCTCCTTGTATTTTTTCTTTACATTTTATTTATTAGGTTCTCCATTGCACATAAAAAGCAAAAGTAACTGTTGCCATATTCAGGCATTTGGGAACTGCAGAATAAATGTGAGGAGGGCAACTAAGCTAATCCTGCACTGAGGACTGTAATTGCCATTGCTTCCAGGGTTCAGGTCATTTGCCCCCTGCCCCTAGTTTTGCCCCTCCTGTGTTCCATCTGCAGCAAGCAATGGCGATGATGGCAAGCTTGTGAGGTTAGCATGGTCTCACTCCTCACACATTTAATCAAACACCTGAATAAGCCTTAAATTGATCCATTGGCCTAGCTGTCACACACATTTGTCTCTTGCCTTGAGTGAAAAATACAGGTTCTTGGGTGAGCAAGGAGACAAAAGATTAACAAAAGTGGAAATGAGGTTTTGGAAGGGGGTGCACTAGGCAAAAAGAGTCAACTAAAGCCAGTTATTGTTATTAGGATAAGACTGAGAGGAAGAGGAGAATTATATAAACCATCTTGAGTTCCTTGCAAGGAAAAAAGGTGGAATCTAAATATAATATATAAATTAAAATATGTATGTTGTCTTTAGCCTTTAAACCTGGAAACTTGCAGCCCTTGACTTCATTTCTCATAGACCAGAGAGATGGGGGCAGGGTGACAGACAGAGAAGTAGAGAATCTAATTTTATACATATTATTAAAAAATAATTTATCTTTGTTTAATTTCACATTAACAACATTGATCATCAAGTCTTGCAACTCCGAATTTCAGAAAGTGATCAGATCTAGCCTGTGCAATATATTATGTATTCAAAATGTGATTCTTGCAAGGGAAATTTTTCTCCTGTGCATGCCACATTGTAATCTAGACTCTGATGGCTGATCTATAATATCAGTAATTATAGAAGTATATTAATGTATGAAAGATTTCCAAGGAACCCACTGGGATACCTGCTTTTTAGTATTCAACTTTAGTATTTTGAGAGTCCTGGGGTATAAAATTTAGTTTAAAAATTGATTGCATGAATAAACAAAAAACAAAAAAGATATGGGTAAAAAAACCCTGAGATATCAAAACCAAAACTAATTCAGGCTTTTTTTCCATATTTTCACTCTTCTATCATCTCTAAAAATCTAAGAACTAAGATCCTGTGCGCAGTTTCATTTAAGATTTTCATAGAGTTTAAATTTAAATATTTTAATGCAAAAGAACAGGAAACAAAGTTGTTTGAAGCTGGATAATCAAGTTTCTTACACAGTGAAGTATCATATAAAATATTGTACAGCACAGCCTGCATTGCTAACAAGGTCCAAAGTACAGGCAGGACGGATGCCACCATCTGTTGCCCTTCGACTGGCAGAGAACTACTTCAAAGGCGAAAAAGGTGCAGGAATCAGAAGCATGTTTTGCTGGGATTCCAAGAACTGAACATTCTCCCGTACTGAAAGTAAATAGAAAGTAGGACAAAGCCAGATTAATCTTCGAACTGCATTAACCAAAGTTGGTTGACATGCTGGGACACAGGAAGCTCCTCTTACCAGCTGCTACCACCCTGGCATCTTCATGGGCAATGTGCCTCCCAGTTGCACGGCTGTCTGGGTCCTCGTACCACCAAAGCACATGAACTGCCAAAGTAAAAAGACAAAGAAGTTCAGCTCTGGACCTGGACACACAAGGCCCACTAAGAAGAAAGAGCTTTCTTTATCTACAAGTGCTTTTCCACCAGCTCCTGTGCGGAGAACCAGTCAATTGTGGAAGCTCTCCGGGGAGCCAATGGCAAGGAGGGTAGGGCTAAAGATGTGGTACCAAAATACCAGAGCTTATAGCTCTTTCTACCAATAAATAAACCATTAGAGAGGCATGTCAACCTTTCAAAACCAGGAAAATATTGCAAAAAGCTTGGCAACGACAAAGCAACTGTTGATTTGGATAAGAGGGGCTGGGGAAGGCTTTCTGGATAAGCCCACAGAACAACAGATGGATGGGAATTTGCTCCCACACATGAAGTTCTGTACTGAACTTTAGGTCAAATGGCTTGGTGTCCTGTATTCCTGAGGGCTAAGGATGCCGGAAACAGTGTGGCTTCTTTCCTTAAATGCTGGAACTCAGACCATCACAGAAGCTTTGCCTTCTGCTTCAGAGAAAATTAGTTCACAGGGTAAAACTATCACTCAGCTTGGATAGCTGCTAGCATCCAGCTCTCTGTGGTGATACTTCTTTCCCCCAGCTGAGACTAGAAGAGCTTCTGAGGTTCTCTTTTTCTCTGAGGCGACAGGACAAGAAGCAGATTAAGCTTGATCTCAAGAACAGAGAACCAAAAGTTTACATGAAGCCGCAGAAGAGAAGAAAAAGAACAGACCAGGAGAATAGATGAAATGCAGACCAAACAGAGCTAGAACAGCTGGGTTCACATTCAGCCAACTCATACTTTTTTTCTCTTCCTTCCTAATCACATTTCTTGTGCTGCATGCCTTTTACTTAGTATATTTCTATCCCATCTTTTTTGTGCAAGGAATGGAAGGTAGTTTACATCATCTTCCTCCTTTCCATTTTATCCCCATAATAATCCTGTGAGGTAGGTTAGGCTGAGAGTCTATGTCAGGTCCAAAGTCACTCAGGGAGCCATGGCTAAGTGGGGGAAAAAGCCTGGATCTGCCCAGTGCAGCACTGTAACCACTGCACCACACTTTCAGACCACAAACCTGAGGGCAAGGGTTGTCTCATCACTGACTTTTGCACACTACCCTGGAATCATTTCTTTGACTGAACAGCAAGGTAAATATGCTTTAAATGAATAAACATGCCAGGCAGGCAAAGATTACAAGGAACAGGGAACTGGTGCTAACACTGGCTTATTGGTGCAGTTTCCCTCTCCTCTTCTGTAGCGTCTTACACTAGGTCCTAACACTGTAATTTTTCCCATCTCCACTAACATGACCAAACAACAAAAAAAGTGGGTAACAGTAAAAAACACATTATCATCATGGTAAGCCACAGGGTCCTAGTGAAGGGAGCAGGACAGAGGAAACTCAACAGCTCCAGGTATTTTTTCATTTATTAGATTCCAAATCTGCCCTATGTATTATCTTTGGACAAACTGCCATTGCCCTGTGCCTCTCTGCAAGTGCACGGAAGTACTTTCTTTGTTACTCTTGTTTCAGTAGCAAAGGAGCAGAGCAAAGTAAAAGATGAGAGGGTGAAGTAAGGTGGTCAGTGGAAATGATTAATGAAGAAGGGGAGAGGCTACAGCAGCCTTTCCCAAGATGGCGCCCTCAAGATTCAGTGAACTACAACTCCCATCCCCCACTAGCATGCTGGCAAAGGATGATGTGAGTTCCAGCATAGGAAAGGTGAGACTAGAAGATCAAGACCCACCATCCCTTCAAGATTCATTTCCTTCTCGTATCGTGTCCTGCTGGGCATGATCCATAAGGAAAATGAATGTGCGCAAAAATCCGGTCTCTCCACCGAAATGGAAGGGGGGCCGGTATGATCCACTGAGTAGACGTGAGGCTGTGGTTCACAACAGTGGGAAAGCATTCAAAATCATTTGAACTGAAATGTGAAATGATTGATCTGGTACCTGTGTTAAGTAATCCATATTCAGTGTGGAAGACACCGATGAGTTTGGCATAGTTCTTACTGGCGTGTGCATCAACCGTAGTTTTGAATGTCCTCCCCCACAGTGCTGGGCCACCTGGTTTCATCTGGTAAGTCACCAACTCATAAACTCCTAGGATCGTGGTCAGCATGATGTAAACAGTGAAATATTAAAGATATGATCACTATTAAAGATATACATCATGGGCACAGTCACGGATCATGCCAGTCCACCCTGGCAATAAACCCTGGTGAGTTGACTGTTGGCAAAACAACCCAGCGTGCACAACAGATAATTAGACTCAGGATGGGCTGTTGGCCTCCTCCCCACTCGGTTCGCCAAAGGGTATGCCAGGGAACAATGCAGCAAGATCCACATGTCTCACCCCCCACTGCTGCAATTGCAAGCCTCTGCTGTGGCTTTTCCTCCCCTTTACCCCCAGAGATTCCACTTCTGATAAGCTTCTGACAGCCTTTTCAAAGTGGCTAAGGGGTTAGCAAAACCCTTTTTTCTTTGTGCAAAAACATCTGTACAAATCAGCTAGTTCTTTTTAATCTCTTATTACTATTGTTGCATTTGCACGAGCACAGGAACCAGAAGCTTCAGCAGGGTGAATGACCTGAGGGGCAGCACTACTAAGGTGCAGCATATACCAGCCCCAGACTTCACACAAACCAGACTCCAAATAATTTGTCCCACTTTTCAGAAGGATCTTGCCAATTAACTGATCACGGGCCCCTTGAAGCATTTGGAGATTAAGCTTTGGCAGCAAAATGGGAAGCTGCACAGCTCCACAGTTCCAGGACAGTGTTATGGGTTCTCATAGGAGCCCTTCTTTCCTCAAGGCCCAGCAATTGCAGAGGGATGGAGCAAGCTTCCAGGACTTAACCAGAGCTGTGATAACCCAGGGACCAGTGGTGCTATAACCATCATGTGCCCTCCCCTCAAAGTACTGCTTGCAATTTTACTGCAAGGCTCTGCATGTCAAATAGTACTTCAGTATCTTAAACAGTCTGACTGGTAAGAGAACTTACCCTGTTTTGGTGGAGTCCCAAGTGTGCACCAAGGGACCAAGTAAGCAATTTCCGCATGCTGTTTTGTTACAAGTGGGAGCAGTTCTGACAATGTTTCCTGCCATCTTTTATTATCAAGTAGAGCTTTCCTTACTGCTGTTCTGTGAGCAAAACTATCTGTGAGGAAGGAAAAGAAATATTAAGACTCTGCAGCCAAATCGGATGGACATACCTGTTGCCACATGAACACATCTGCAGATGCTCACAGAAATAAATGGCCTCCAGATATTATAATGGATCCACCAATGTTCTACTTTGAATGGTACCCCCACCAGTGAAACAGAATTCTTCCACTCAAATGCCCAATTAAAAATTGCAACCTTAGCAAATAAAAAGGGATCTGTTTGGACCTTCGCTAACATGGTATAACCCATCACCATATGCAACGTATCAGTTATGGATTTTGCTCAAAACTCTTTCTGCAAAAGGCAGGAACTCAGGAGTAAGCAATCATATACTGTGTGCACCCAGGCCCCTTCTAGCATGGAGCAGAAGTGTGCATCATTGGCCCCTGTATGATAGAGACAGAATGAAGTCTCTATATTGGTGAGGATCAATGTAATTACTAGGAGCTTGATATTTACTGTTGATTGGTCAACAAAACAGTACCCCTGACTTTTTGATTCCTCCCTTCTCTCCCAGCCTACAGAATCCTGGGTCTGAACCTGCAAATAGCTGCTTATACCCCTAGCCAAGCACAGCCATGTAGCATATCACATGATCCTAAATCTCACAGAAACATCTAAAAGAAAAATATCCAACTTATATCTGCCTAGCACAGAGGTTCAGATATTTAAAGCACTCCCATGCAGTCCATACCATATTTCCAAATATGCAAGGCCTTATTCATTGCCCCCAGCTCTGCTGTCCAGAACCCAATCATCTCTGAGTGAGCCAGACGAGCATTAATATCTCTGCTGACCAACTCCAGAAAATCCTTTGCCTTTCCTGGCTTGATATCGTAAGTACGAATTTCATAGAAGGTGCCATCTTCTTGCCTAGGTCCTGTGGCAAAAGGTGAACAAACCTGGGACAGGTTCGGCTTTAGAAAGACATAAAAGCAAGAATTTCAGTTAGAAAATTATACTGGAGTGGTTGTTTCTAGGTTTGCAGTCACAATGGTAATTATTTGGATTGGTGAAATGCTCTATTACTACACAGAGTTTCAGTAAGAAAACGGGCAAAGGAGTCATTTGGTTTCAGCTATAAAGTGCCACAATCCTAATTTATCAGAGCCAAACACAGTCAATACATTTTTAAAGACTGATCTCACACATTAGCCCTCTGTCTTCAAGAGCTGACTGTAGGTATTTAAATTTAAAGCTCATGTTGATGACCCTATTTGGGGGGCGGGGGGATAAAATAGGGGGGAAGAAGCAGAATAACATTTTATTAAAGTAATTGAAATATCTCTTCCTTTGCTCAAGCTTGAGCGTCAAAGGCCAGCACAAACAGGTAGGCCTCACAACACGTTTGAAGAATATCGTGGTGAGTCTACAAAGACCTGGAGTTCTATAACTCTGTGTATAGAGAGGGGAGGGGAGTCATGAGGCTATTTCTCTTAAATAACGCATATGCTTTCTGAACCTAACACACAAAGGGGACCATGAAGTGACTATCCTCAGTGACTCTCAGCTGTTGTAGCAGAACACAAGGGAGAGGTGATCTCTTAGGTGAGTTCAGCCTACATTTTTTCAGAACTGTGTAGGCTGACCAGAAAAGAACAGAGAGCCAGTTGTTCCATAAAAGAACAGAGAGCCAGCTGGAAGCAGATGACAGTGTACAGATTCTATTTTTCTACACGGAAACCACATCCATACAGGAAACAATATACGAACAGAAATAGGTCCATGACTGCAACAATAAATACTGAGTAGGTACATGTCTCTTCCTACTTGGAAATTACATTTATATCAGAAAATCACCATGTATGAAGTGATGCCGATGTAAATTGCAATCTTAAACAGATTCAAGTGGAAGAAAATTTCATTAAAGGTTAATCAAATCAATGAGCCAAGGAGGCTGATGTTACAGTCTTTTCTGTTGCACAAGCATAACGGACAGAATCCCTCCATCTTTTAAATCACAGCATAAAATCAGATATCTTGGGCAATTCAGATTCTGCATCAGATTGTGCCAGAGAAATCAAGCTATTAGCAATGGATGCAACTAAATTATGGACATATTTTTAGATCAGTGAATTTCAGACCTCCAATGATCAGGAAACACTGCCACACAAATTTATCTGCTGCTGAGTCCCTGAGGATCTCCAACAGCACCTATTTCTATTGCAGATAATTCTGATATGTAGTCAAGGTCACCCTTTTCACTTTAAGCAGGTTTCCTACAAGGCCTGTTGGGCCCATATGCCACCCCACAGGGATTAAGACAACTCCCTTGAACACCTCCAATGTTCTCCTGAAAACTGCCAAAGACAAGTGCTGGAACACTTGTCTTTTAAGAGCAGCTTCCATCACTGACCTTTGAACAGAGGAAGCCCAACATTGCTAGAAACACAGTCTGAAAAGTACAGTGTTAGCTCAGTAGCATGAAGCACTGCAAAGCAGCAGCAGCAGCGGCAGGGGACTGTATAGGGCAGCCTGTTCCATTTTGGAACCTGCAATGCAGTTTTCAGTGCAGCACTGGACAAGACATTGTGCACCAGGCTTCATTGTTCATCCCAGGCATTAGTTCACAGAATGCCTCCCAAGACATAATCATCAGGCAGCAGAGAGAAGTGCTGCATGTATTAAGCTAGCTTCCCCCCAACCAAAGGTGCCTGGAAATTAACACACATGGAAAAACTGAAATCTAAATTCATTTATCAACCTTTGCAATTCCGCTTTGTCCCTTCAGAGTACCAAAAATCAAAATACACTACCACAGCAGTAGAGTTTTGCTTAGAAAGAGGCAGGATACTGGGTTAGATATGCCTTTAGTCGGAACCAGCGGGATTTCTCTTGCTATTTCAATTATGCCCACAGTAAAAAGTGTAGTGATGATGCCTGTGCAAGAGCCTTTGGAAGTGAATGCCAAGCTGCAAAATCCTAAATACAGACAGACCCAGGTGGGATCCAGAAAATTGTATATATGGATTCCATGTAAATCAACTAAGCATGTGTAGACCTTTTGGATGGTAGCCCACTAGAGCCTCATGTTAATGCCTGGGCTTGCTCCTGAGTCCCAGGCAGCAACTTGGTGTATCTCAAAGAGAAGGAGGAACTTTTGCCACTCCCGTGGAGAGAAAAGCGCAGGCCCGCTACGTGCCGCGAAACGAAGTGCAATCGCCAAGGCTAGTTTTAAACGGTGGCAACCTTACTCCCAAAGCTTCAACCAAAAGGATGGAAGTGGAGTCTCTAGTACCTGCTTCCCAGCATTACCTGGGCGCGGATCTTGCAAGCTGCGGCAGCCCCCCGAAGGAGGCCAAGGACGGAGGCTGAAGAGGAGCGCAGCATGGCGGCAGAAACGGGGCAGGAGCGTCCGCAGGCAGCTTGCAGCAGGGGAGGAGGCAAAACGTCAGTCCACTCCCTCCAGCCTAGGGCAGCCCCGAAGAGCCAAAAAAGCCGCCGCAGCCCTGGCTCTTTTGAGCAGGAGACAGCGTGGAAGAGTCGATAGGAAACGCAGCCTTCCCGTGCGTGGTGCCTCCTGATAGGACTACGACTCCCAGCATCCACTGGCCAACTCGGTGTGCATGTTGGGAGTTGTAGTCAAACGCTTTGGGAGAACGTTGGGTGGGGAAGGCTGAGCCGGCACAGACCCGCAGAGAGCAACCTGGAAGGTGAATCTCTGAAAGTTTATTTGCTCTTGGACACTCCGCGATTCCGTGTTTTGTTTTGCTTGCTTTGCTTTAATTCCACCCTGACACTCGTCTCCATGGGACTCAAAACGTAAACTCCCAACAGTTCACTCTTATGCTTAAAGGTAAGTCAGACTGAGGTCACTAGGACTTTGTGCATCTGGATTCCCCCCTTGTTCCTAGGTGTATGTAAGTATCCCTCCTTCCAATGAAGTTTTCTTGGTCATGATGACTCTTGTGTGAAGCTTGACTATGGTGCTTTCATGCATTAGTGCTGTCTAATTCCCAGGATTTTCTGAAACCTGGTAGGCTTCTTAATTAAGCCATTACTTCTTGCAAAAGGAAGAACTTCTTGCTTCTTTATATGTTGCTAACATGTGAATCCTTAAGCAACGTGAGGCCAAGGCACCTGTCTTTGCAAACTTCAGAAGCTGTGTCTTATGGTGCCACACAATGTTCTGGTTCCTTTGAGGAGCACCTCAAGAATATGCTCCCTGTTGACGTCAGACAGGCACCTACAAGCCTGAGCTGTAGATGTCTCCTTCCATCATAATTCTTCATGGAGGCTTTCCATGAGCCAGCCAGTTATCACTATAGGTGTAATGCAGATCAGTGATTCTTTTATTTTCTCTTATATTTTGGTGCTGGACCTTTTCTATACAAGGCTCTTAATACATACCTGACATCTGACCACTATTTGAGGAGCACTTCCTTTCCTGCTTTTTGGCTACAGAACCTCTAGGTGGCAGTGTGGTGTTGCAGAATAGCACAGATGCACGAGTGAAAAAAGCATTTTATTTTCCTTTTTACAAATAGCATTTTTCCTACTATAAAATAAAATAATGGCAAGAAAACTGGAGGGTCCTGTTATCTAAAAAATCCATAAACAGTGAATGACAAATGCACAATAAATACCTCATGTATAAAAGCTTCAGATATTGTAATTGCGATCTCTACTTTGATAATTTCATTGGCAAGTGAAATATGAGTGTGTGTGTGTGTGTGTGTGTGTGAAACATGTCCCTTTTTGCTTTTAACTTAGGTTCACACAATGCTGTTTTCCTGCGCAGAAGCTGCTCCAGATGTGTGGCAATACACTTGTATGGCAGCAAAGCACATGCAGGCAGCAGGAGACAGAGACACTAGAGACAGTGTCCTTGGTTTTAAATGCTCTCAGGCACTAAGCTGCTGTGCTTCCCACTTATTCCCCTACCAGGCAGCTCTGCTGCTCGGCCCTTGAATTATGTCCTGCTGCCTGCAGCAGGTGATAGATGAAGAGAGGCAAGAGGACTGGTAGCTCAACAGAGAAGATACAGCAGCTGCATTAAGAGTACTCCTACCCTTTAACCCAGTAGGTCATGGCACTTTCTAATCTGTGGGTCATATCCATTGAAATAAATGGGTTTTAAGTTCAGCTAACATTTGGTACAAGCTCTTGTGTAGGTTCCAAGGTCCATTTTGTACCTAGTTACTCCAGGTTTACCTGGAGTAACTAGACATGTTCCTAATATGAATTGCCAAGTGACCCCCATGGGTGCTAGGGCAAACACAGGAACTACAGTACCTGGATCCCCCCCACTACAGATCATCGAATGCAATCTGACTTTTGCTGTGAATGTACCAGATTAGTTCTTTGGGAGTCCCTTGGAAGTGTGTTCTGCAGGGCGACAGATTCCAAACTCACCATTCTGTCTGGGAGCCTGCAAAATTCCGAAGTGCCGTTCCATTTTAAGTTTTTTAAAAAGCTTGTTATGATTTGTTGCAAATGTTTTAGATACTGTAATGTACAATGTAATAATTCAATGTGCAAAAAAATATATTTGACAGGATTAAAGCAAGAGTGGGCAACTTGTAGCCTTCCAGATATTTTGGAGTATAAGCCCTATCAGCTCTGGCAATTATAGCAATTTATGAGGGATGATGGGAGTTGTAGGCCAAAACATCTGAAGGGTGTCAATTTTCTCACCCAGATTAAAGAAATACACACACATCCTCCACCCCATTGTTACAGCAGTTTGTCACCAAAATGCTTGACCGATTAGTGATGAACAAGAAGCATAAGTCCTTGCTTGTCTATCTTTGTATTTTCTTCATGTCAGCAACCTCTCTGTGTTTACCGAGCCCTATCTTGGCTGATTTTTCAGTAGTCTGTGAACCTGTTTTTGTCCCAACATGCATCTGAATCTTTGTATTCTAATACCATTTTAATAAAGATGCGCCAAGGTTTTTTTAAGTACTTCAAATGTATGCAGTTGGAGCTGACAAAACATCACATAGTACAGGACCTGTTTAAAAATGGCAAGTTAGAGCTGATAATTTTCCAAACCACAGGATTTAAATAGGTTTTTTGGGGTGGGAGGGACAAACAAAACAAGTCCCACTCATTCCAAGTAAGCATGCTCACAGGATTACTGTCCATATTTATTGAAGTGAACAAACACAGCTCACACAGGCCTAACGCTCATTGATGTGATGAATCTGTTTCTAGGCAGTTCCAATTCAGGCTACAAATAGGGCCTCATATGAGTGCATGCTCTCCCGCACAAAAATAAAAATTCCAAATAGAAAAGCAGAGAGCCCAGTCACACGGGTGCTTTTTCTCTGAAGTCCTGCTTTCCAATATGGGGGAATATTTTGTATCAGGGTATTCCACTAACTTGTCTCATGCTTGGGGTCTGAAATGGTAGCCTGCTGAATATTTGAGGTTGCTTCCCTTTTGCAGCTCTATGAAGCCCTGAAAACCAATTTAAAATGGCAGTAAAGCAGCTTACTTTGTAGTACTTAGATTAAAAATCAGAATAGTTATTAAAAGCTTTATACTACTTGATTTCAAATTGCTGCATTAATGTTGCCTCATGTCAAGACAGTGGTCAACAAAGATGTAGCTAATGTTATATATTGATTGAAAGAAAATATTGGTGTAATGCCTTGCGGTGCCTACTTCTCTAGCCAATTCATTATTACTGGTTAACATTTCTGGATTGTAATGAAGATAATGGATTTGGAATTTTTAAAATTGATTTACATCCTACTCTTACTCATGAAAAGCCCTGAATGGCTAAGATTCTCCACAGCACACACATTAAAATCATGTTTGAAAATATGTTTTACTAGCCAAATTCTGAGGCCCAAAGTAAACAATACACCGGAAGCTAACTACTGAATCAACCATGTAAAATTATTATTAAGAGTAGCTCTGTGTGTGTGTGTGTGTGTACGTGTGTGTATGCATGCAAGTGTGGGTTGGAAAGCTTTCATTAGCTCCAACGGAAGGTGGTTTTCCCCCTCCCTTTTCAGTGAAACTAAGGTGTATACAAGTAGGCAATAACATGGAGGGTGCAGGGGCCGAGGTCCAGATTGGAACAAGATTAATGTACAGGTCCATTTCTAGCAGCAAATAGAGGAGTTGGTGATGACCTGCCCTGGAGGGTTAGCTGGCTAAGAGATTAACACCTCCATGGGAGAAGGAAAGAATAGACATATGAGAGATGAAGCGTGGCAGACTGTAGTAACTTCTGCTGTTCTGGGTGGCAGAAAATTGGTAAAGTCTGCCTTTTCCCTTGTGACCTCTCTCTCAATCTACCAATCACATTTTTATATCTCCCTTCTCCCAAGGACATTAGCCTTGCGTCCATGGACTTACCCCTTTTAGTTCATGTGACAACACTGCAAAGTAGACTATCAGTTGATTCTCTTTCATTAAGCATAAACTTACACCTCACCGAAAAGGCAGCTTCCTTCCTATAATTAACCTGGACAAAGTCAATCCTAATATTTCTCCTTCTGGCCAATGTCCTCTCTTTTTTTCTAGCTGAGCAAGACTTCATCCAAAAGAATGTACCTCAGCACTACAGGGGCCTGTTACAATGTGCCGTTGGGTGTGTGTTGGTTTTCGGAGGCCCCTCTGCCGACCAACAGGGCCAGCCAAGCAGAGATGCTTGGCAAGACTAGGGGCTGATGACCAGAGGAACACAGCTAATGTCCTATTCCTTCCACCTGTGGCAGTTAAGGATCGAGACCCAAGGAAGCTGCGTTGTTTTTCTCTTCCCTTCCTTGATGATTCTGAGCAGAGAATGCAGTGATTTTCTCAGGGAAGGGGAATGAGATTGAAATCCAAGTTCCTTGCAGTAGTAGTGTCAACCCTCTTTCAGCCTGAGGGCCAATTCCATTTCGACAAAGCTCTAAGGGGTTGTATTACCTGAAGGAGCGCTTACATCCTTATATGCCCAGCCGCCCCCTGAGATCGGCGGGAGAGGCCCTTCTCCGGGAGCCCTCCATGGAAGAAGTTAGGAGGGTGGTTACTCGGAGGAGGGCTTTCTCAGCGGTGGCGCCTAAGTTATGGAATGCGCTCCCCAGAGAGGTCCGCCTGGCGCCGTCGTTATTTGTTTTTCGGCGCCAGGCAAAGACCTTTTTATTTAAGCAGTATTTTAAATGTTAATATTATTGAATTTTATTTGGCCAGGGCGGCTTGTTTTATAGTGTATATTTGTATTTTATTGTATATATTTTAAAATGTTATTTTAAATTTTTTGTTGTAAGCCGCCCCGAGGCTTCGGCGAATGGGGCGGCATAAAAATGTTTTAATAAAATAAATAAATAAATAAATATTCCAGCAATGGGTAGGGCTAAAAGTTAAACGGGGGGGGGGGGGGGACGTGCCCTAAATACCATCATATTGGAGCATTACACACTTACGAAGCCTT